GGGCGGGGGTTGCATGGGCATGTGTGGCGGGTGAGCCGTCATGCACACATTGCATTATGGGTGCCGCCACATTTGCGCACGCACTGTCGTGTGCGGGCTTTCGGCATGGGACGACCAAAAGGTTAGCCATCATTGGCCTAAAAGATGCTGAAGGCCAGGGGTGAAATGCTCCCGGTTCGGACCGGATCGCCCGATCCGGTAGCGATGGTGGCGGGTGGTTCAGAGAACCGGGAGCAAAAATCCCTGCCCCCCACCCCCATGCCCAGCTGAGCCACGCAATCATCAGAGGCTTTTTTTTTTTTTTAGTTTTAAAAGCATTTTTTCTTCGGCCGAAGAGGTTGCAGAAAAAATGCTTTTTTTTTTTAATTGAAAACGTTTTACAAGTACAAATTTTCCCTTTCCCCTCCCTTTCCCTCCCTAACCCTCCCTAGCCCTCCCCTCCTCCCATGACTTCCCCAAGGTGAAATCCAAATCCACATCATATTATATCATGCTTTACCACCCATCTATTCTGCCCACTGTGTACTATACATTTCTACATGACATTGAACTATTCTACCCCCTATATACTATACATTTCTACACAACATTCAACTAAAAGCTATCTGGTATTTCCTAGTTTGATATTTGTTCTGCACATAATCTATCCATTTCTTCCACTCCCATGCATAGGTCTCTTGAGTCCGGTCTTTTAAGTATGCTGATATCTTCGCCATTTCTGCAAAACTGGCCACCTTCAAAGTCCATTCTTCAATAGTAGGCATAACATCCCTTTTCCAATATTAACCAATCAGTAACCTAGCTGCTGTCACCATGTACAATATCAATTTTGTTTCACCCCTTGAAAAATCCTTAACTATGCCCAATAAAAACAATTGAGGAGAAAATTGGAGTTTTTTCTTCAGAACATTTTGCATAACCAAAAAGCAAAAAAAAAAGAAAAGAAAAGAAAAGCTTTTAAAAGAAAACAAAAAGCCTCTGACGATCAGGCAACTCAAGATGGGATCGTCAGAGGCTTTTAAAAGCATTTTTTAAAACAACCTCTTCGGCCGAAGAAAAAATGCTTTTAAAAGTAAAAATGCTTTTAAAAGTTTAAAAAAAAAAAAAAGTTGGCCATGCCTACCCAGTCACATTACTACCCTCAACCACCAAGCCACGTCCACAGAACCGGTAGTAACACATTTTACATTTCCCCACTGCTGAAGGCCCCTTCCACATCACGGATGCTGGGGTTTGAAATTGGTCCCCGCGGGACCGTAGCTTTCTCCACGGACATGTGAAGTTCAGCAGTTCTTCCTCCTCAGCTCCAGATGGTCGCGAAGGGAAGATGCACGGCTTCCTGCGGATGTATTGGGCCAAGAAGATCTTGGAGTGGACCAGGTCACCCGAGGAGGCCCTGCAGTTTAGCATCTACCTGAATGACCGCTATGAATTGGACGGCCGAGACCCCAACGGATATGTAGGTGAGTAAAGGGGAGGCTGGGAGGCCACCCCAGGAATTGAGGGAAAGGACCCACGACTTAGCCTTTGGGGCTCTCTCTCTCTCTGCCCTCCTGTCGGCTGGTGGTTCCCAGGAGGAGAGCCTTCTCTGTGGGGGCACCTGCCCTATGGAACAGGATACCCCCAGGGATACGAATGATCCCAGATCTCCGTACTTTCCGTCGTGCCTTGAAGACTTTTCTATTTCAGCAAGCCGGACTGGCATAAATTTTCAGTTTATCTAAATTCTACGCTGAGGATCTTAATTGATGAGCCAAATCGGTTTAGTTATTTTTAATTATTTTTATTTCACATTATATGTATGTTCACCGCCCTGAGTCCTTCGGGAGAAGGGCGGTATAAAACATAAATAAATGAATGAATGAATGAATGAATGAATGAATGAATGAATGAATGATAAATAAATAAAACAGGACTGTCATTAAACGAGGACTCTCTGTACTGCCAAACCCATACCAGAGGGAAGAATGACATGCGTAATAGATGTAGTTTCATAAGTTTTCGTTTTTATTTGAAGGTCTCTTTTCAGAGTCTTTTGGTAGTGATCCCACAGCTTCTAAGCGAGGGATGGGACCGGTAGGTGAGATCTCAGCATCTCTTGGAGATCGACTGTAGTTAGGGCACTGGTTGTGTATGTCACTTAAACTCAGATGGATCTTTCTAGATTAGATGAAATTAAAAGAGATTATAGATTACATTAGATTATGTGTGCATCCATGCCAGCGGTGAGTTGCTACCGGTTCACCCCAGATCGGGCGAATCGATAGCGGCAGGAGGCTCCACCTATCCGACTGGAAGCTTCTGCGCAGAAGCGTTGCTCACAAGCGAACCGGTAGCAAACTAAATTGAAACCCACTATTGATCCATATGTCAATAGAGTGTGTCACTTAAACTCGGATAGATCTTCGTAGATTAGATTAGATTAGAAGAAATTAAAGATTAGATTACACTAGATTAGATTAGATTAAAAGATATTAATTATAATTAGATTTCATTAGATTATGTGTGCATCCATACATCAATAGTGTGTCACTTAAACTCAGATAAGATTTTTGTAGATTAGATTAGATTAGATTAGAAGAGATTAAAGATTAGATTACACTAGATTAGATTAAAAGATATTAGATTATAGATTAGATTAGATTTCATTAGATTATGTGTGCATCCATACATCAATAGAGTGTGTCACTTAAACTTGGATAGATCTTTGTAGATTAGATTAGAAGAGTTTAAAGATCAGACTACACTAGATTAGATTAGATTAGATTAGATTATGTGTGCATCCATATGCCAATAGTGTGTGTCATTTAAACTCAGATGGATCTTTCTAGATTAGTTTTAGATTAGAATGGGATTAGGTTATAGATTAGATTGTGTGTTCATCCATGTCAATATGTCACTTAAACTCGGATATATCTTTCTAGATTAAGATGTTATGTTATGTTTTTATGTTATAGATGGTGCATCCATATGTCAATAGAGCGTGTCACTTAAAATTCAGATCTTTCTAAATTGGATTATAGATTAAATTAGATTACGTTAGATTAGACACCTCCTTTGCCCAAGTGTGGCTAGCCTTGTTCTCTGTCTCTGCTAGGCTGCATGTGGTCCATCTGTGGGATCCACGATCAAGGATGGGCTGAGCGGGCCGTCTTTGGCAAGATCCGCTACATGAATTATGCCGGTTGCAAGAGGAAGTTTGATGTCGCCCAGTTCGAGCGCAAATACAGTCCGCAACGCTTCACCCAGTAGCCTCGGCAGAAGGCTGGCGGACAGGTGCTTCTCCCCTTGTAAAGAATAATAAAAAACACTCACTGCTGCAGAACAAAACAAGCTTGATCTACTGATTTGAGACACCAGGCTAGAAACCAGGAGAGGGTGAGTTCTAGTTCCCTTAGACATGAAACCCGGATGGGTGACTGGACCAATCACTAGAGACGGTGAGTTCTAGATTTTCAGCCAATCACTGGGAGAGAGTGAGTTCTAGATTTTCGGCCAATCACTGGGAGACGGTGAGTTCTAAATTTTCAGCCAATCACTGGGAGAGTGAGAGTGAGGAGAGTGAGTTCTAGATTTTCGGCCAATCACTGGGAGACGGTGAGTTCTAGATTTTCGGCCAATCACTGGGAGACGGTGAGTTCTAAATTTTCAGCCAATCACTGGGAGACGGTGAGTTCTAGATTTTCAGCCAATCATTGGGAGACGGTGAGTTCTAAATTTTCAGCCAATCACTGGGAGACGGTGAGTTCTAGATTTTCGGCCAATCACTGGGAGACAGTGAGTTCTAGATTTTTGGCCAATCACTGGGAGACGGTGAGTTCTAGTCCCACCTTAGGCATGAAAGATTGTGTGATCAGAGAGCACCAAGAACTCCTCCTCCTCTCCACAAATTCCTCCCTCTTCTAACACCGATGATGTTACCTAGATTGGTAATAAAATGTCTGCGAGCAAACAACTGAGCTCAGAGAGCACCAGGGCCCCCACATCTCTTCTTCCTCTTATTTCCGCATACTCCACTCCCTCCTAGTTCTGATAATGTTAACTAGTTGGGTCATGAAACGTCTGCAAGAAAACCACCCAGTTTAGAGAACATCATGGACTCCGCAGTTCAATCCTGAGCTACAAATAATCTCTTCTATCGATTTACTGAATATAATCTTTATTGGGGAAACTGCTCCATAAACGGGGGGTATGCAAGACGGAAAAGGAATGACCCAATATATGTAGTCCTCGATTTACGACCACCAATTGAGCCCAGAATTTATGTTGCTAAGCGAAAAACCCGTTAAGTGAGTTTTGTCTCACTTTACGACTTTTCTTGCAGTGGTTAAATTAGTAACACGGTGGTTAAGTGAATCCGGCTTCCCCTTGACTTTGCTTGTCAGGTCACAAAATGGGATCACACAATCCCGGGTACACTGCGACTCGTCATAACTACGAACCAGTCGCCAAGCCTCCGAATTTTGACCAAGTGACCATGGAGATGCACCAACGGTCATCCGTGGGAAAAATCGGTCGTAAGTCACTTTTTTTCAGTGCTTTTGTAACTTCCAACGGTCACTAAAGAGCCTTGGTAGTACAGTGGTCTAAAGCACCCTGTTATTAAGACCAGCTGCCTGCAATTAAAGTAAGGTTCGAATCTCACCAGGCTCAAGGTTGACTCAGCCTTCCATCCTTTCTAAGGTGAGTAAATTGAGGACCCGGTTTGTGGGGGCAATAAGCTGACTTTGTATAAATATACAAAAGGATGAAGGCTATTGCTTAGCGCACTGTAAGCCGCCCTGAGTCTCCGGAGAAGGCGGGCATATAAATCAAATTAAAACAAACAAAAACTAAATGAACTGTTGTAAGTCGAGGACTACGTATAATCATTTCGGGAGGGACTGGCACCGCTACCATCCCGTTGAACATTTTCCGTAAATTTATCGTGTCGTTTAAATGAAATATTTCAGTTGTGTGAAACGCTCCACCGACTGTAAACATACCAGACACGCAAGCTGTTTATTATTATTATTATTATTGTTTTTATTACCATGGTTATACTTTACTGGAATAATGGATGGATTTCCAGGTTCAACCAGTGTTCTCTTCGTTGTTGTTTTTTACAAAGAACATTTACGTCAACACAGATAAGAAATGTTGGTTTTTTTGCCAAATGGGCATTAAATTGACAGCTCAGGCAGCTCTGAGCACCATTTAGCATCCGAAATCCCCCTTCTGTGCATCTTTTTTTTTTTTTTGGTACTTTCTGGTATTTCTAAAGTGAACCCTTTAGAACAGAAATCTTCAAACTTGGCAGCTTGAAGACTTGTGGACTTCAACTCCCAGAATTCTCCAGCCAGCACAGCTGTGCTGGCTGGAGAATTCTGGGAGTTGAAGTCCACAAGTCTTCAAGCTGCCAAGTTTGAAGATTTCTGCTTCAGAACCTACTGCCTCCTTGCTGGTTTTTGTAAAACTAAATCAGTGCTTTTAGAAAATTAGCTTTTGCTAGCAAAAAGAGAAATAAACGTCCCCAGCGTCTTCAAACATTTGCTTGAAGCAACACAGTGGAAGGAATCGGATTTTTTAAAAAAACCCGCAGTGTGCATTTGTGATTTTTTTTTTCAAGTGCGTTAAAAAGAAGTGTGCAGGGAGCCAGTTTTATTTCTTTTTAAGGGGGTGGACAAGGCAAACATAAATATACTTAATATAAACGTAATTATCGGGGTGAGATCAGGACTCCCTCGGTTAAAACGATTCAGATTAACGACGTTGAAGGTTAAATTGGTAATTCTGCATCGCTTGGTTAGGAAGCTGGAAAAAAAAAAGAGAGGACATTTTCAGGAAGAAATTGTGCAAATTTAGTTGGAAGAGTTGATACGGGGGAGACGAGGGATGTTTCACCAGAATGGATGTTGAGCGAAGAAGGAATCCGTTGCCTCGAGTTTCAATTTATTGTTCAATTTTGGATCACCGGCTGTTTTGGGTTCTAGAACAGCGTTTCTCAGCCACGGCCGCTTGGAAATAGGTAGACTTCCAACTTCCAGAATTAAGAGTTGTTGGCTGGGGAATTTTGGGAGTTGAAGTCCACCCCATCTTCAAGCAGCCACGGTTGAGAAGGCCTGTTCCAGAATGTTCTCTCTGCAGCCCGGTAGAGTTTGCAGACGAGAGGTTCTCTAAACTGCAAAGAAGGAAGTGAAAAGGATGTCTTGTTGCAAATCCTTCCTGCTATGCCAATATTGACAGATTAATTTCATTTTTTCCCCCTTTGCCGCTATTGCTCAGGTAGCGATGTTGGGATGTTAACATCTGCCCAGATGTTAACGGGAGCCGAGTCATAAAAACCTATCTGAATTTTTGATATTGCTTAATGGAGCTAGCATTTCTGGAATTTGGAATGAGCTGTACGTTGCTTTCCTGTTTTTTTTTTAAATTAAAGTCTCTAGGATGAAACTTAAGCCTCAGAAGAAAGCAGCTGTTAAAGTTTGTGACTCTGGGATAAAGAAAATGGCTTTTCCTTTTTAAACAATGCAGGGATGTTTGGATCCATCCATGTTGTGATTTTTTTTTAAAAAAAAAAATAGTGCAATTGTAATTTTTCAGGTCTCTCTTGACTGCCTTCCACGGTTCTTCAAACGTGACAACTTTAAAAGAGTTGTGGACTCTCCACTCCCAGCTAGCTGTGAGAATTCTGGGAGTGGAGAGTCTACCCAGATTGAAAAAAAAATGTGATTTAAGACAAGGGTCTCCAATCTTTGCCACTTGAAGACTTGTGGACTTCAACTCCCAGAATTCCTCAGCCAGCGAAGCTTCGCTGGCTGAGGAATTCTGGGAGTTGAAGTCCACAAGTCTTCAAGTGGCCAAGGTTGGAGACTCCTGATTTAAGGAAAAGGGAAAACAGAGACTCTGCAGCTTGGGTGACAGCGCAATAAGATGGATGAGCAACCTTAAAAGTCAAATAAAACCACGCCCTTTTGGGAACTCCTCTAAATCGGGGCAGATCATCATCTCTATAGATCGGCCTTCGGAATCTGCAACCTTCTTAAAATCCTGTCCTCAAAGTGAGATTATAACGATGGTTTCCCAGCTCTGACAGAGTCCCTACACTTAGGAATGGCTGTGCAACCTGCCAGAAATCTCACCTGGCCAGCCAGAAACCTTCAAACAACGGCGACCTCCACTCACCTCACTTCCTAACCTACTTTGGCCAAGTATCTCAAAGCCCACAGATATCAGGGGAGGTAGAGCAGCATTAGAACCCAAGACACCTCTAACAGTTATCTAGAACCCCCTTCCCTCTCTGTTGCCAGGAGCTGCTAAGAGCAGGCCTCCGAGCTTGGCCCCCTTTCCTCCAGCTGTGTGGGGGGGCTTCAATACCCCTGATCCAGTGGCCACGATGGCTTAGGAGAGGGGCTGCAGCCTGAAACAGCTGAAGGAATTGGGGGGGGGGGGGCTATTGCAAAGAGAGTTTCCTGTTGCGGAAAAAATAATTCCAATTTTCCTCTCACTGGAACAGGGGTCTCCAACCTTGGCAACTTTTAAGATTCGTGGACTTCAACTCCCAGAATTCCTCAGCCAGCCTTTGCAAGGAATTCTGGGAGTTGAAGTCCACGAATCTTAAAAGTTGCCAAGGTTGGAGACCCCTGCACTGGAAAATCGTCCACCGATGCCGTCGACCGACATTATTCCTCTTACGAGAAAGACCTTGCAGACAAAAAGAGAAAAGTGTGAGTTTGTGTTGTGTTATGTGTGTGTGCGTTCTCACGCACGGATCCTTTTAAGGAGGTGGGAAGGGGCTTCGGTCCTCTCAGACCCCCGGCCCGCAGCCCCGCCCCAATCCAAGTGTACCATTCTGGCTATCCAACTCCCGTTTCCCCACTAAGATTCCCCCCGAGATTTAAAAGGATGGGTTTTTTTTTTTTAATACTTTTTACTCCCTTTCTTGTCTCCTCGGACGAAACAGGAGTGAGGTTTAGCAAAGAAAAATAAAGAGAATTTGAGGCGAGGATCGGGGATTGTCCAAAGAAAAATTAAAAAGACCAAAAAAAAAAATTAATAATAATAATAAAAAAGAACACAACGGCCTCATCCGGCACACAGCAACCGATACGGCAAGTCGAACGAGGCAGGAGGGTTGATTTTTTTCCGCTTTTTACGAGCGTGGCCGGATTGTGTCGGGGAACTCAAACCTCCGGAAAGCCCATCCTTAGCGTCTCCCCCGTGGATGGAGCAAAGTCCTTGTAGGACGCGCACCGAGCCAAATCCTCTGCCTTCCCGTAGAAAGGAAAATTCATCTTGAAGTTGTGCATCCGAGCTGGTCACAGGAGCCAAATCTGTTTGCTCGAGTTCCAGCAAAAGGAGGGGAAACTTCCCTTCCCGCAGGCCAAAGCCGTGAAGAGTTGCTTGGGCTTCGGGAGCGTGGGAGAGTGTCCGGCTTCGCGGCTGATCAGTTCAGTCTTTGGAAGCGCAGGCTGCGCGGCGACCTGCAGCTTCTCGGACGTCACGTGGCTGCTCCTACCGTGTCGTCCTCCTCCGGTTCGTAGTCGGAGAGGTTGGCTTCCAGACTCTGCTTGGCGAGAAGCTCCCGGCGAGCTTGCAAACGGGCGCATTTGGGGCAAGGTCCCGACCGGAAGCAGCCCTTGTGGTAGCAAGCTCGGCACTCTGCAAGGGTGGGTGTGGAGAAAAAAAAAGAAGGAATCAGGAGAAGCTGAAGGCAGGGAGGGCATTGGTCTCAAACAATCCGAGTTTCCTAAGGGAACCAGGGGCCATTCCGCATTTATCGCATGGCCCATTCGCATCATGTTTTACAGGCGTAGAACGAAAAATCTGAAATTTTAAAACAGGAAGATTGCAAATTTTATATCTCCCTGTTTAACTCCTCTTTTCCGACCCGGTAATAATTTGCGGTGGAATCGGGGTGACTGGATGGAGCTGAGAATTTACTGGCCGGATGCCCTTCCTGACGCCTTACCCCAGGTTCACAGCAGATTTTTTTTTCTTTGGGCCCTAGGAGAGAAACATCTGTGGCTATCTAGGATTGAATTCTCAAGCTTTCAAGTGGGAAGAAAGGCGTAAAATGGGACAAAACTCACTTAACAAATTTCTCACTTAGCAACCTAAATTCTGGGCTCAATTGCGGTCGTAAGTCGAGGACTGCCTGTATATGGTATACGGAAGAGAGCCCAGCTGGTACCGATCTATGGAGAAATTGAACAGTGCTGGAAAATTGAAGACCTGTGTTGAAGACCGAGGGATGTATGTCCTTCTGGTTGGACACAGTGCAGGGGTGAAATGCTCCCGGTTCGGATCGGATCGCCCGATCCGGTAGCGATGGAGGCGGGTGGTTCGGAGAACCGGTAGCAAAAATCCCTGCCCCCCCCGCATTGCCCAGCTGAGCCGCGCAATCATCAGAGGCTTTTTTTTTTTTTTTTAAAAGCATTTTTTCAGCCAAAGAGGTTGTAGAAAAAATGCTTTTAAAAGTAAAAAAAAAAAGCCTCTGATGATTGCGCAGATCAGCTGGGATCATCAGAGGCTTTTAAAAGCATTTTTTCTACAACCTCTTCGGCTGAAGAGGTTATAGAAAAAATGGTTTTAAAAGGAAAAAAAGCCTCTGCCGATCAGGCAAGTCGGCTGGGATCGTCAGAGGCTTTAAAAGCATTCAGCCAAAGAGGTTGTAGAAAAAAATGGTTTTAAAAGTTTTTTTAAAAAAAAAGTTGGCCACGCCCACTCAGTCATATTACCCCCCCACACCAAGCCACGCCCACAGAACCGGTAGCAACCAATTTTACATTTCACCACTGACGCAGTGCGAAACAATCCTGGGATGTGTGGGTGTGTGGGTCTTCCTTCGGCCCTCAAATGAACTTACAACTTAAACGTAAAAATTGTTAGGGGATTAGCGCTCACCTTCGCACGTCTTGCACTTGTTCAGCTCAAAGGGAAACAGGATGTCGTCCTCATTCTGGCAGAATTCGCAGATGAACCCCTTCGCTTGGCACAGCTGGGCGAGGAGATAAAAAAAGAACGTGGAACTGTCAAGATTGAATCTGGGTTTGCTTCGTTCAACGTTGAATGCGTCTAAACTTCCCAATGAATCGGGGTGGGTGGGTGGGGGGAGGGGAGGGGGAAACGAAATGCCGAGAATGTATGCCAAGATCGTTGAGAGCCTGGAAACCATCAAGGTCCCCTTTGCAGGTGCTGGTGACAGAAATGGCCTGTTCCCATAACAAACGGATGCCTCATAATTGGACAATGTGATCTCCCAGGGGTGGGGACATGGGGAAGCTCTGGTTTAACTAGGCAAGCAATCACGGGAAAACCAGAGCTAGTTTTTGCTTCTTTAGTGCCAATATGGTGTGTCCAATAAAGTTTTGCTTTGGGGAATTCAAGTGTTTTCTTGATTTGGGTTCACCAGTTGGGCAGTTGACACTAAGCACAGCAATTCCACCATTTGGGTTTCATTCAGCCCTTCGAGAAGGAGAGTCTAGGGCTGCTGTTTCACTTAGTGACCGTTCAAAGTTACAACGGCACCGAAAAAAAGCGACTTAGGACCGTTTTTCAGAGTTACGACCTTTGTAGCATGTGATCAAAATTAAAATTAAATAAAAAGATCTGCACGAAGCAATGCCAGAGGCGATTGCCTGGAGAGTTGAACCCCAGTCATAAGTCCATTGCCATACCCCCAGAGAGGTTTTGGATATACCGTATTTTTTGGAGTATAAGACGCACCTTTCCCCCCCCCCAAAAAGAGGGTGAAAATCTGGGTGCGTTTTATACTCCGAATGTAGCCCCGCCCAGCCTCGCAAACGGAGATTTCAGAGGCTGAAAGAAGCTTCAGAAAAAAAGCCTCTGAAAGGCTTTTATCTAAAATAATATGGCAAGCAACAAAAGAAGAATCAGTAAAGGTTCTAACCAAACTATGGTAACAAATCTGGAGAATGACACAATAACCAACAGATCGGAAGAGTTTAATCTACATATCAAAGAAAGGAGATTGAACAGAGTACAGGTAGTCCTTCAGAATAAAAGCCTCTGAAAGAAGCTTCAGAAAAAAAAAGCCTCTGAAAGAAGCTTTAGAAAAAAAGCCTCCAAACAGAGCTTCAGAAAAAAAAGCCTTTTTTCTCTGAAGCTCTGTTTCGGAGGCTTTCAGAGGCAGAAAAAAAAAGTTTTTTCTTAAATGGAGTTTCAGAAGTTTCAGAGGCTGAAAAAAAAGCAAGGCACGGAGCTCATAACCAAGGAACCTGTTGCTAAAATTCACCTCTGGGAACAGCTGATTGGGCGTATTCCGGGAGGCCGATCCACCCACCAATCAGCTTTTTTCTTATTTTCCTTCCCAAAAACTAAGGTGCGTCTTATACTCCGAAAAATATGGTAATTATGTGGATTGTATATGTGTGTAAGTTTACTCCTCTTCTGTCATGTTCTCATCATACTCTAAATCAGGGGGGGGTCAAACACTATTTCATTGAGGGCCTCATCAGGATTGTTTCTGACCTCGGGGGGAGGGGGGCAGGGTGAACGTGGCCAGGTTGGGCGTGGCCAGCTCGATGTCACTCATATCGTGGGCGCCTGTGGTGGTCCGAGCACCCAGCCAGCAAAAATGGGCTCCCGAGCTCCGTTTTTGGCTGCAACGGCTTCCTGCAACCCTCTGCCAGCAAAAACAGAGCTCGGGAGGGTCGCCCGCGGCCCTCCCAAGCTCCGTTTTTGCTGACAGAGGCACTGTAGGCTGATCCTTTGCTGTTTCCAGGGTGGCTCTGCAGGCCAGATCTGAGCACCACTTGGGCCGAATACGTCTCCCGGGCCTTGAGTTTGACACCCCTGCTCTAAATAAATAAATACTGTATTTTTCGGGCTATAAGACACACCTGACTATAAGACGCACCGAAATTTAGAAGAGGAAAACAACAACAAAAAAGAAGTTTTTGGCCTCCCTTTTTGGGGCCTTTTTTTGGCCCTTTTCCAGCCTTTTTTCGGCCCATTTTCGGGGCTATTTTGAACCCATTTTCAAGGCTTTTTTTAGGCCCATTTTCAAGGCTTTTTTTGGCCTGTTTTTTTTGGGGAAAAAATGGGCCGAAAAAAGCCTCAAAAACAGGCCAAAAAAGCTTCAAAAACAGGCCAGAAAATGCCTCGAAAATGGGCCAAAGAAAGTCGAAAAAACAGGTCGAAAAAAGCCCCAAAATCGGGTTGAAAAAAGCCTCCCCCCCAAAAAAAGGCCTGAAAAAGGCCTGAAAACGGAGCGTAGGGAGCCCAAGCAATGGCCGGCTGGTGGGCGGGGCTCCAGCAATATTCAGTCTATAAGACGCATTTTCACCTCCTTTTGGGAGACAAAAAAGTGCATCTTATAGTCTGAAAAATACGGTAATAGCAGGGGAAGCTTGCAAACTGCTGACACCTGCTGAAGGGTTTCCCTTCCCCTCTGGGCACGAGGGAGGAGGAGGGGAGGGGAAGATAGAAATCCTCCACTGCTAGGTAGAAACAAAACTCAGATCTTCAAAATCCGAGTTTCTTTTTTTCAGCCCAGGGCAGGCGCTCCAGTTCTATGCGCAAAGGACTTCTCTTTTAGGCTCTTTCACTCTGTCCACCTAACAACCACAAGTGGGAGAGCCGTGATTGTGATCACTGAGCGAAGCCATCACATGGGTGTCTCGCTTAACGATCGTTTCGTTCAACGATCAAGATTCTGGTCTCGGCTGCGATCGTACATTGACCACTGTCTGTTAAATGCGACTTAGGATCGATTATCAATTGCGCTAAATTGAATTTTGTACTACAGGTAATCCTCGACTTACAACAGCTCATTTAGTGACCGTTGAAACTTACAACAGCACTGAAAAAAATGACTTGTGACAATTTTTTTCCACTTACGACCGTTGCAGCATCCCCACTGGTCACGTGAGCAAAATTGAGACGCTTGGCCAACTGGCTCGTATTTATGACGGTTGCAGTGTCCCGTGTTCACACGATCCCCTTTTTGCGACCTTCTGACGAGCCAAGTCAATGGGGAAACCCGATTCACTATACAACCGTTACTCACTGAACAGCTGCAACGATTCGCTTCACAACGGTGGCAAGAAAGGTCATAAAACGGGGCAAAACATCCACTTAGCGACAGAAATCCTGGGCTCCTTTTTTGGTCGTAAGTCGAGGACTACCTGTATTTGAATTTGCACCAACGATGAAGCTGCCTGTGGTTTATTCACGGCTCATGGTACCCTGGCTTAGGCAGACCCCAGCCTTCTCAAGGACTAGGAAGGACTACATCCACACAAAAGAAAAAGAAGAGGGAAGAATAGAATGGAGTCCACGCACTCACCATGCATTTCTCAACGTGCACCTCTCCCACCCGGAGGAGCTCAGTCAAGCGGGGGACAAGCTCCCCCTTCTTGATGGCGCTTAAGTCGTTTAAGGAATACAGGTGAAGGTCTTCGGTCAGGTGGCCGGGCACTGCGTCGAAGGCATCCAGAAGTCTGGGAGGGAAATAGCAGCAAAGAAGATGATTCTTCTCCCTCTCAGACCAAACTCCACATTTTTTGATTGTCTAAGACTCTCCAACAATTTCATTTTCAAATGTTGCAGCTGAAACTATATTGGTCTCTTGAGTTTGCTTGTTTTCTTGCGGACATTTCATCACCCAACTAGGTAACCTCATCAGGGCTAGAAGGGAGTGGAGTATGCAGAGGAGGAGGAGGACGACTGTGAGTGTTTCGGTGCTCTCTGAGCTTCGTTGTTTTCTTGCAGATGTTTCATTGTCCAACTAGGTAACATCATCAGTGCTGGAAGGGAAGGGGGTGGCTCTTGGTTTATATATAATATAATCCCTCTCCCTTCTAGCACTGATGATGTTACTTAGTTGGGTAATGAAACATTTGCAAGAAAACAACCAAGCTCAAAGAGCACCGAAATATCCAGTCCTCCTCCTCCTCATCACAAAACCCACTCCCTCCTAGCACTGATGATGTTACCTAGATGGGTAATGAAATGTCTGCAGGAAAACCACTGAGCACAGAGCACAAATATTCTCTTCTATCAGAAATAAAACTATAGAGAGTTTGTGATAGTATCATTCAGATATAAAGGTAAAGGTTCCCCTCGCACATATGTGCTAGTCGTTCCCGACTCTAGGGGGTGGTGCTCATCTCCGTTTCAAAGCCGAAGAGCCAGCGCTGTCCGAAGACGTCTCCGTGGTCATGTGGCCGGCATGACTCAACGCCAAAGGCGCACGGAACGCTGTTATCTTCCCACCAAAGGGGCTCCCTATTTTTCTACTTGCATTTTTCGAACTGCTAGGTTGGCAGAAGCTGGGACAAGGAACGGGAGCTCACCCCGTTAACGCGGCACTAGGGATTCGAACCGCTGAACTGCCGACCTTTCGATCGACCAGCTCAGCGTCTTAGCCACTGAGCCACCGCGTCCCTCATCCAGATATAACTGGATCACAAATCTGTATGAGGACATTACAATTCCCGTTTCCCAACATTCCTGAACGTGGAATTGGCCTTTTCTCACAGCTTTCTCACATCTGCAAGAAATCAACCAAGCCACACACTCACTGTGCCATCTCCTGTGGCACCTACTCCCTGCTCACAGCTTGCTCTCGCTCTACGATGACGATGGGACTCTCCGGAAACGTTTTCTGGAATCCTTACCCTTTAGCTAGGCGACACGTCTTGAACATGTTCTTCATGTGGTACAGCTGGATTCTTAAAAGCTGGAAGAGACCAAGAAGACATGAATTCAGGGTAACAAAGAGTTGTAAAGGGACCTTGGAGGTCTTCTAGTCCAACCCCCTGCATAGACATTATAGACCCTATAATGTTCTAGATAAATGGCTGCCCAATCTTGTCTTTAAAACCACCAGTGATGGAGCACCCAAAACTTCTGGGGGCTAGTTGTTCCACTTTGAAGAAAGTCCTCCTTAGTTACAACTTGCTTCTCTCCTTGATGAGTTTCCATCCGTTGCTTCTTGTCCTGCCCTCAGGTGCTTTGGAGAATAGCTTGACTCCCTCTTCTTTGGGGCAGCCCCTCAAATATTGGAAGATGCCATCATGTCTCCCCTGGTCCACCTTTTCATTAAACTAGACATACCTCAAAATTGATACTGATTTTAATTGAAATGTTTTAAATTATGGGCCAAACTTTATTTAATTATTTTAAAACTATTTTAACTTTTGTGTACAAATGTTTTATTTTTGGCTGTTCACCGCCCTGAGTCCGAAAGGAGAAGGGCAGTATAGAAATTTAAATAATAATAATAATAATAATAATAATAATAATAATAATAATAATAATAATAATAATACCACCACCTAATTCCTACATCCATTCATCATGTTTTAGCCTCCAGCTTCCTAATCAACAACTAACAAACTAAACCAAGTGTAGTTTTTACACTTGGTAATCATTTTAGAAGAATCAGGGAGGGTTACTATAAAAACCCTCTGTCTTAGAATCTTTATCATATCTAGAATGTATTTGCATATACGAAAACCTGTCCACTTTTATATCCTGTTCTTCTAATTCTTGCCTCGATTTAAGTTCACCCTTTTTATTCAATAATTCACTATATCTAACAATTACCGTATTTTTCAGAGTATAAGACGCACCGGACCATAAGAAGCACCTACCTTTTTTGGTGACAAAAACAAGAAAAAGAAATCTCCCTCTGCCTCTGAGCAATTTTGCCTCGTTGCAGCAAACAGCCTGCTTTACTTTCATTTTCGTTTTCAGCATAGCTTGATTAGCACAAGGGGAAAAAAAATCTGCTCCAGCAATTTACCTTCTTGCAGCAAGCAGCAGAGCCCTGTGCAAAACAGCTGAGAGCAAATCAGCTGAGAGTCGGGAGGCCGATCCAATCAACTTGTGCTAATTAGGCTGTGCTGAAGCTGAAATGGGCTGTTTTTTCTTCCTGCTTGCTGCAAGGAGGTAACTGCTGGGAGGCAGAGGCCAAAGGGTGGGGGGCAGTGGCTGGGAGGGGCTACATTCAGCGTATAAGACGCACCTAAATTTTCACCCCCTTTTAGGGGGAAGGAAAGGTACATCTTATACTCCGAAAAATACGGCAGAAAATTAGTAAATTCTGAATATGGGGATGAAGTACAAAAAGATTTGTAACCGACTGACACACTGTTTGCAATTGTAATAGATGATGGATTTGTTTTATGTTTTGTTTAAAAAATAAAAATTCCCCCCCCCCCCAAAAAAGAAGAAGAATCAGGGAGGGGACTCCAGGTTAACCGAGCCTCCAAAGCCCCTGAAGGCAGGACAAGAAACAAGGGATGGAAATTAATCGAGGAGAGATCCAAGCTACAACGAAGGAGAAATTTCCTGATAGTGAGAACAATTAACCAGTGGAACAGCTTGCCACCGACTCTGTTATGCTCTTATTCTGAACAAAAGTGTGACTCAAAAGCCCCCGATGCCTGCTTACCCTGACTTGGTTGAGAGGCTTGACCTTACGGTAGAGGGCAGAGTTAACGTCCTGCATGTTGAAGAGGGGATCATTCCAGATCTTATGCAGCAGATCCTTGGAGAAATTGCTGACGTAGTATTTGCCGAAGTCCCACCTGCGAAGGATGCGGCTGGGAATGACCATCTGGGCATTCTCGTGGCAGCACTGGCAGAAGTATTTGCCCAGGTACTCGCAGTAGCGCATCCGCTTGATGTAATCTGACGGCCCGTCCGACGAAGGAAGAGAGAAAGGGAATTTAAGAGAGTAAGCGATCTGCAGATGGAGCGTTTCGACTCCGATTGTCCTTTGTTGGGACCAAGGGGCCAACCTCAGAACGTTCTAGAACCAAGGCAGTTTGACGAAAGCTCTGGCGCTAAGGGATCTGCCTGCCTAGAACAGTCTTCAACTTACGACTGTTCATTCAGTGGCCAAAGTTACCACGGCACTGAAAATCTGTAATTTGGAAACTGTGTTGAAGAGCGACCTGTGAATTCGCAGCACGCACCTTGTTCAGGTAGGGCTATTGGCTTTTTATCTGCCCAGATTGCTATGCAGGCAGTCCTCCACTTATGACCATAACTGAGCCCCAAATTTAAGTTGCTAAATGAGAAATTCGTTAAGTGAGCTTTGCCCCATTTGAAGACTTTTCTTGCCATATTTGTTAAGTGAATCGCTGCAGTTCTTAAATGAGTAAGATGGTCACTAAGCGAATCTGGCTTCCCCCACGGACTTTGCTTGTTAGAAGGTCGCAAAAGGGAATCATGTGACCCTGGGACACTGCAACCGTCATAAATACGAGTCAGATGCCAAATGTCCAAATTTTGATCAGGTGGATTCTGCAACGGTCGTTAAATGTGAAAAATGGTCCTAAGTCACTTTTTTCAGTGCCATTGTAATTTTGGATGGTCACTAAGTGAACTGTTGTAAGTTGAGGACTACCTGTACAGGTACTCAACTTATGTTTCACTTAGTGACCATTTGAAGTCACAAGGGCACTGAAAAAAAGGCACAACTGTTGCAGCATTCCTGGGGTCACATGATCAAAATCCAGATGCTTGGCAGCTGCTTTGCATTTATGACGGTTGTCATGCTCCCAAGTCGTGGGATCCCCTTTTGCGGCCTTCTGACCAGCAAAGGGAATGGGGATGTTTGATTCACTTAACCGTGTTACTGGCTTGCAGCGATTCACTTAACTGTGGCAAGGAAGGTCGTAAAATGAGGCAAAACTCATCGAACAACTGTCTCACTTAGCGACAGACCATTTGGGCTCAATTGTGGTCGTAAGTCGAGGACTACCTGTAGTGGTGAAAGGAGCTGCACGAAATGGTAGAAAACCAGCCCTAAATATGCGGCTTAGGGACTAGCCTGGTTAGAAAGCTTCTCTTATCCACAGAACATTCTAGAAGGATGCTGTGTTGGCAGCCTTATGTGAGATTTGCAAAATCTACAATGAAGAACGGTGTCTATTCTTTCATTCCACACATGAGCTCTGGTAGCGCAGCAGACTAAAGCACTGTTATTAACACCAGCTGCCTGCAATTACTGTAAGTTCGAATCTCACCAGGCTCAAGGTTGACTCAGCCTTCCATCCTTTCTAAGGTAGGTAAATTGAGGACCCAGTTTGTGGGGACAATAAGCTGACTTTGTATAAATATACAAAAGTATGGAGGCTATTGCTTAAAAGCATTGTAAGCCGCCCTGAGTCTCCGGAGAAGGGCGGCATATAAATCAAATTAAAAATAAAAATAAAAAATGGGGGGAAAAGAGGTCAAAATAGGTTTGTCCAACACAGGGGCACAGTTCCAGAATAGGCAGGTCGGAATCAGAATAGAGCGGGAAGGGACCTTGGAGGTCTTCTAGTCCAGCCCCCTGCTCAGATATTGGCAGGCGGGATGAAAAGCTGTATTTCGGAGGCGCAGCTCGGAATAAACGAGAAGCCGTCCCAACAGAAGAGAAGGCAGGACATGTTATGGGTCTCAGCGGATGAAGGATGTACCTTTGTTGGGACCACAAAAAATGGGCCTTCTTGGTAGGTGGCCCCATCTGGCACCTTAGAGCCTTGGTGGCACAGAAGACTAAAGTGCTGTTAAGTAACACCAGCTGCCTGCAATTACTGCGAGTTCGAATCTCACCAGGCTCAAGGTTGACTCGGCCTTCCATCCTTCCGAGGTAGGTAAAATGAGGACCCGGATTGTGGGGGCAATAAGGTGACTTTGTATAAAAAAAAGAACACCGCTTGGGGGGGGGGCGAAAGCCCTACTAAGCAGGTATATACAAAAGTATGAAGGCTATTGCTTAACGCATTGTATGCCGCCCTGAGTCTCCGGAGAAGGGCGGCATATAAATAGAACCAATAAAATAAATAATTATTGGAATGGGAAGGCAGAAGTTGCTGCCCTTTTAATTTGGAATTAAAAGAATTAGCCTGGGTGTCAAACTCAAGGCCAGATCCACTGCCCAAGGATTGGCCCATGGGGCCTCTGCTAGCAAAAACAGGCCAGGGAGGCGTGGGTGGCCCCCGCACGGCCCGTTTTCGGCCTGGACGGCCTCCTGCAGCACCCTGCCGGCCAAAACAAGCCGTGCAAGGGGCCGCCCGCAGCCCGTTTTGGCCGGCAGGGTGCTGCAGGAGGCCATCCAGGCCGAAAACGGGGTTCACGGGGGCCATCCTCGGCATCCCGTTTTGATCGGCAGGTGCTGCAGGAAGCTAGCTGGCCCGTCACTGCCCGCGGAGGACAACTACAATGCTGATCTGGCCCTCCAAGAAATCCAGTTTGACACCCCTGGTCTAGGCCGATGTTGGGCCTTCAAGAATTCATCCAAGTCAAGGACTCACCAAAATCTGTCCTGATCCCACAGCCAGCGCAACGGTAGTTCTGCTTGGCCACTGCTGCCTTCCTCCTGAAAAAACAGACATGCAGGATGTTAAAAGAGACAAAAAGCTCATGTCCTCAACTCACTTCTCAGCCTGGAAGAGGTGAAAGTTATTGGGGGCGAATCACTGGCCCCCACAGATGGGGCTTGCAACTTGGGCGTCCTCCTGGATGCACGGCTGTCTTTAGAAGAGCATATGACGGCCGTGGCCAGGGGGGCTTTTTATCAGGTCCGCCTGATACGCCAGTTGCGTCCCTTTCTAGATTGGGACTCCCTACGCACAGTCACTCAGGCACTTGTCACCTCCTGCCTGGACTACTGCAATGCTCTCTACATGGGGCTCCCCCTGGGGTGCACCCGGAGGCTCCAGCTGGTCCAGAATGTGGCTGCGCGGCGGATTATGGGAGCGACGGGGCGCTCCCATGTGACACCTCTCCTGCGCGAGCTGCACTGGCTCCCGGTGGTCTTCCGGGTGCGCTTCAAGATGTTGGTGACCACCTTTAAAGCGTTCCATGGCTTAGGGCCAGGGTATTTATGAGACCGCCTTCTGCCACCAATAGCCTCCCAACGGCCAGTACGCTCGCACAGAGAGGGCCTCCTCAGGGTGCCGTCCGCCACAGTGTCGGCTGGCAACCCCCAGGGGAGAGCCTTCTCTGTGGCGGTGCCCGCCCTCTGGAACAACCTCCCCCCAGAGATACGTACAATACCAGACCTCCGGACTTTCCCTGAAAACTTATTTATTTCGCCTAGCCGGGCTGGCTTGATCCCACAGTTTTGGTTAAATTTAATTGATTTTAATTGGGTTGTTTTAATTTGCGGCCAAAAAATATTTAATTATTTTTAAACTGTTTTTAAATTTTGTACGTTCTGTTTTATTCTGGCTGTTCACCGCCCTGAGTCTTTGGAGAAGGGCGGTATGCAAATTAAAACAAATAAAATAAATAATAAATCAATCAATCAATGGACGTGGTTAGCGGGATGGAGCAAGGTTTGAGGCATCAGCTCAGAGAGGAAGTAGCTGCAAGCAAACCAAATTCAGCCCCCCCCCACCCCGAGTGCTGTTGACCCTTAAGGAACTCTTAGTAGGTGCTGACTGTTAGTTGAGAAGATTCCTTTGTGTAGGCTTTTTAGCAATAAATCAATTTAATTAAAACTTTCCATGTGGACCTAGTCTTTCACGCCTGACGAGATGGGAAGGAGGGAGAGGGAGAATCAGAGAAAGGAGATGTGTAGGAAAAGGATTGGCAAAAACTGAGGGCGGAGTCAAGAGAGGAATTAAGCCTAGAATCCCTACGTAGCCACAAGCAGGCTAAGTCCAACTTCCCTTGAATTCTGTGGCCCTTTATCTAACTCCAAGCAGGAGCTGACTGTTAGTTGGGAAGCAGACTAAGTCCAACTTCATCAAATTGTTAACTAGGGCGTACAAAACCTTAGCCAGACCAATTCTCGAATACAGCTCATCTGCCTGGAATCCACACTGCATATCGGACATAAATACAATCGAGAGAGTCCAGAGATATTTTACGAGAAGAGTCCTCCATTCCTCTACCCACAATAAAATACCTGATGCCACCAGACTCCAAATTTTGGACCTAGACAACTTAGAACTACGCCGACTTCAGTCTGACCTAAGCGTAGTACATAAAATTATCTGCCACAATATCCTACCTGTCAATGACTACTTCAGCTTCAACCACAACAATACACGAGCAAATAATAGATACAAACTGAAGGCTTAAAATTTTAATGGGTTATTTTAAGGGTAATGGGTTTTAATGTTTTGGGAAGCCAATTCGATTTAATTCTGCTTTTAAATTATTTTAAATTTTGTATTGTATGTATTTTAATTTTGGCTGTGCACCGCCCTGAGTCCTTCGGGAGAAGGGCGGTATACAAATTTAAATAAATAAATAAATAAATAAATAAATAAATAAATAAGGTAAACCACTCCAAACTCGATTGCAGAAAATACGACTTCAGCAACAGAGTTGTCAACGCCTGGAATGCACTACCTGACTCTGTGGTTTCATCCCCAAACCCCCATAGCTTCAACCTTAGACTGTCCACCGTGGACCTCACCCCATTCCTAAGAGATCGGTAAAGGGGGCGTGCATAAGCGCACCAGCGTGCCTTCCGTCCCTGTCCTACTGTCCCCATTTATTCGTACTCATTTCCTGTGTTCGTGTCTATGTTTATACTTATACCTGTTTTCTCGTACGTGTTTGACAAACTAAATAAAAATTAAATTAAAAACTTCCCCAAGGTGCGGAGTTAAGAGAGGAATCAACCTACAATTCCTACGTAGTCACAAGCAGACTTAAGTCCAAATTCCCTTGAATTTCATGGCCCCTTATCTAACTCCAAGCAGGAGCTGACTCTTAGTAGAGAAGATTCCTGCGCACAGGCTGTTCAGCAATAAATCACTTCAATTGAACCTTCACATGGGACTTGGTCTTTCGCACCTGACACCTTTCAGGTAGGTTTTTAACTTCGAGCAATCGCTAAGTGACTGATCCTAAGTCAATCCTTGTGGCTACGTAGGGATTCTAGGCTGATTCCTCTCTTGACCTTTCTACTTATAGTCTACATAAAGAGGAAACGTTGAGATCCACCATTTTAGCTATTCCAGGTGTCATTAGAAATACTTGGAAGAACTGGGAGGACGCGGGAATAAAACTTCTCGTATTGCTTCATTTCTTTCAAATTGCTTCCCACTTTCTTCTGCTTTTGAGCAGAACTTCATCAGGACACCAATGAGCTTCTTGGGGTCACACACACAAACATATACACACACACGATACAAAACATCACAAAAGGTAAACGGCCCTCCTTACGTTGGTGCTGGATGGATATTGAAGATGATCTGCGGGCGGGGAGGGGCCCACTCCAAGTTCCCCCGCACCCGGATGCGGAGCTTGTAAATATCGGCGTGCTCTCCGTCGTCCGGAGATATGGGCACGGAATCGGGAATCGGCAACAGCTGTAAAAAGGAAGCAAATTCAATGTCCACAATGAAGACCAGCAACGTTTCGTTTGGTGGTGGTCTTCTTTTAATGAAAAGAAGGGGGCTAGGGGGTGACATGAGTGTTCCAATATTTGAGGGGCTACCACAAAGAAGAAGGAAGTCAACCCAACCCAACCCAACCCCCAGAAGGCAGAAGAAGAAGCAACGGATGGAAACTAATCCAAGGAGAGAAGCAACTTAGAATTTAGGACAAATTTCCTAACAGTGAGAACAATTAACCAATGGAACAGCTTGCCACCAGAAGTTGTGGGTGTCCCAACACTAGAAGTTTTTAAGAAGAGGCTGGACGACCATGGCACAGAGTTTCCTGCTTGAGCATCTGAATTGTGATCACAAGGGTGTCACAACGGTCTTAAGTTTGAAAAATGGTCCTAAGCCACGTTTTTCAGTGCCGTTGTAACTTCGAAACAGTCACTAAGCAAACTGTTGTAAGCCGAGGACGACTTGTACTGCTTAATTCTACGGACTGCTGTTTGGGAACTTCGGAGTTAAAGTTTTGCCTCGGCCTTTACCATGCGGTGTATTCAATAAAGAGTTAAGATTTTGGGAAATGGGATGAAGCTGGAGTTTTCTTTTGGATTCTCGAGAGGGATGTTGACCGCAGCATTGTCGGGGGAAAAAGCAGAAAGGCAGAAACTACCAGTCGCAGCTACGACTTATTTGCAAAGCCGACGCAGGAGTGAATCGGGAAGTGCTTGAGTTAAAACAGTACGGGAAGGCAGGAAGGGATCCTGGCCACGTGCTGAGACCACCTAAGATTCCACACTAGCAGTGTTAGTCCTGTTTTCAAGAGTGTGTGAAATCTTCCCCCGCGCCTCCCCTTTTTCATCACACAAAGCAAAAACTTTGGCTCGGCTTTTGAGCTTTGAAGGTATGTAAACAGGGCTGTTTCTTGTCGAAAATCCTTTTTTCTTTTTTTTCCTTTCTTGGGTTTTTTTATTTTTTATAAATGTATCAAATCAATGCGTGAACAGTGTGACATCTGGGTGTCATACATTCTAACACAAATAAAACTATCAAAGTTAATCATAATTATTACATTCAATCAACTGATATATTTCTAGTAAATAAGACGCATTTGTCTTAGATTGCAATCTATCATTGTACAGTCATTCCACGTTTTCTCCGGTTATTGCTTTCATTTTATTATATAAAAATGTATACATTGATATTCCCCCTTCTCTTATTTCCATCACCTATTCTAGTTTTTAATCATATCACCCCTTATTAAAAGATTTTTTCCTTTCTTTCCTTTCTAACTTCTAATCATGTCACCTACCTAAAAAAGAGAGAGAAAAGAAAAGAAAGAAAGAAAGAGAGAAAGGGAGGAGCAAATCGGAATAGCAATATAAAAGGAATGAAATCATCCATCCATCGTCTCTTATCCGCTTTGATACTTTTAATTGCTATGCTTTAAGACAAGAGTTCTTCAAACTTGGCAGCTTTAAGACTTGTGGACTTCAACTCCCAGAATTCTCCTGCCCGCATAGCTTGAATTGAAGTCCACAAGTCTTAAAGCTGCCAAGTTTCGGGACCCCTCCTTTAAGAGAAAGAGAGGGAGAAGGAAAATCAAAATGATTAAAAAAAGAAAACAATAATCATCTATCCATCGTCTCTTGCCCGCTTCAATATCTTAATTGCTATGCTTTTTTTTTACTTGTCTTCCACGTTCCTCTTGAAAATCCGTTTTTTTCAATAATTTTTTATGACTGCACCATTGCTAGACCACCTCACCGCTGGACAACTTCAATGTTAAACACAGGCAGGCCTCAACTTAGTTCATTTAGTGACCGTTCAAAGTTACAACGGCGCTGAAAAAAGGGACTTTGGACCGTTTTTCGCACTTATGACAGTTGGGACATCCCATTGGTCACGTGATTTACATTTGGTTGCTTGGCAACGGGCTCGTATTTAAGACGGTTGCAAGTCCTGGGATCATGGGATCCCATTTTGTGACCTTCTGGCAAGCCAAGTCAATGGGGAAGCCAGATTCACATAACGGCCGTGTTCCTTATTTAACAACTGCAGGGATTCACTTAGCAACGGTGGCAAGGTGATTTGTAAAATGGGGCGCTTAGCAAGTTTCTCACTTAGCAACACACATTCTGGGATCAATTGTGGCTGTAAGTCGAGGACTACCTGTAAATCCTGCCACACTGAAACGTAACTTGCTTCACTTGGTTACTAAATCCATTTTACGGATTCGTACCAAACAGTGGATGTCCAACTAATTAAGTGGCCTCGATTTACATAACATACTATATTACACGCACATACAGAATTGAAATTAACAAGGTTTAGTATGTGGTGTGAATGCATCTGCTAGGCTGTCTACTTAGAAGCATGAAGAATGGAGATTTTTGTAGCTCAAGGTTGAATTGTGTTGCCCTTGGTGCTCTCTGAGCTGGGATGTTTTTTTGCAGATGTTTCATGACCCAACTAGGGAACGTCATCAGTGCTAGAAGGGAAAGGGGTGTGTGGGGAGAAGGAGGAGGAGGAGGAGGAGGACTGTGGGGTCCTTGGTGCTCTCTGAGCTTGGTTGTTTTCTTGCAGTCGTTTCATTACCCAACTAGGTAACACCATCAGGGCAGTGAAGTGTGGGGTTTGCTTCCTGTCGATATACTAACGGCTTGCCCTGTCAGTGTTGGCGGGAATGTTCTTGATGAATCCTTAATTAGGCTGCAGATTAATGTGTGATTGTTTGTTTGAGTTGGTATTTCCTTAATTGGGGTGTTATTAATTCTTGTTGATCTGGTATAAATCTCTGCTTCTCTGGGTGTGGATTGCTGGCAAGGAGGTGTTTTGGTCTTTTTGATCGTCTCCTTTGAACGGTGTGTAAATATTGCTTATCTCTCTGTGCCTGTTGATGGCTGATTTCCCCGAGGGCCAAACTTCCAGGAATTCTCTGACGTTTTGGGGACTTGGCTTGTCTATTGTCTATTCTGTATCACTGTAGACAAGTCAATTCGACTTTGCTCCTGTGGCTGACCCATCCCACTGCCAAACGTTTTCAAATTGTACCTGAATTCTTAAAAACGAGGAATTCTGATTCTGGCCCAGGGATGCAATCTTTACCGCTGTACTTATGAAACTCAAACTGAGACGATTGAACTGCTGGGTTTCCCCTGCAAACAGCCCTGGTTACATGCCTAATATTGTTTTCTACTGCAATGGAGCTGGCTCTATACTCCACATCAAACCACGCCAGCACTCCCAATGCATTTTTTTTTTTATGTCGAAAAGCCGCTAAGAGCACACGGTCGGTCAGCACCATGCTCCCCTTGGAACCTACCAGTAGTAGCTTTGCAGAAAGCCGTCTTTTCTTATACCACTTGGGGCGCTTAAAAAGCTTTTTAAGAAACTTTATCGGGCCCTGAAAACCAACACAAAATATTCTAGAGAGAAGTTCCCCGAAAATGGGCTCCAGCACGAATCCGAAAGCTCAGAAGACCAAACCTCTGGTCCCAGTGACCGACCCAGATTGGATCCTGCATTATTATCATCTTCTTTTAACGACCCCATAATCCCTCGAGGGCTGGAGTCTGGGCAACTGAATGGAGTTTACTGGCCGGATGCCTTTCCTGTCGCCAATGCGGAGTTTTGTTCAGCAGATATAGTCTCATTTTGCCCAGAGAGAGAAATATCTGCCTCTACTTAGGATCGAACTCACACCCTCCTGATTGTGAGGTGAGAGCTCCATCTCTAAGCCACCGCACCACTCTATCCTGCAACATTATCCTGGGACACATATATATTCACCTTCATTCGTGAGAAAATATCTCGGGGATTCCCCTTTAAATTTTCGGAAGCTAGTGGGGAAGAGAAGCTGCGATGGAAAGACTGCTAGTGGGATGAAGACAAAGGATGCTCCTGCCCCTGAAGCTCCCCAGTTGTGCCTGACTCTAGGGGGCGCTGCTCATCTCTATTTCTTGGCCAAGGGAGCCAACGTTATCCGAAGACGTTTCCGTGGTCATGTGGCCGGCATGACTATACACCAAAGGCCCACGGAACGCTGTTACTTTCCCACTGAAGTACAGTAGTGGCCAAAATTGTGGAAACCTTTTGGGAAAAGTGTATTTTCCAAAACTAGCTAATACCATCACTTTTTTTTGGGAGTAGTACCATAAAATGATATATCAATGGAAAGATAATTTAATCAAGAATGTAATGCAATAACTTTCAGGAAGGATTTGGTCTTAGAAGAGCAGTGACAGGATAAAGAAGAAAAGTGAAACACGTAGAAAAAACGAGATATACAAAAATTATCATCATAGAAAAAACGAGATATACAAGAATGATCCCCATGTCAGTTAATTCTTAGTGGGGTCACCTTTAGCATGAATTATGGCCTTACAACGTCTTCCCATGGAGTGAACCAAGTCTTTGAGTTCTGCAGCTGTTACCATGTGAAACCAAGATTGAATGATGGCTTCTATTAACTGGGGTTTATTGCTGGGTGGCTTCTGACTAACCAGTTTCTTTAGTCGGCTCCATGGATTTTCATTTGGATTAAGGTCTGGGCTATTCTTTTTTTTTTTTTTTTTTAATTTGATTTATATGCCGCCCTTCTCCGGAGACTCAGGGCGGCTTACAATGCGCTAAGCAATAGCCTTCATACTTTTGTATATTTATACAATGTCAGCTTATTGCCCCCACAATCTGGGTCCTCATTTAACCTACCTTAGAAAGGATGGAAGGCTTGACTATATTCAAAACAAGTATCAGACTAAGAAGATTCATATAGCTTATGAGTGAAACATTTTTAACTTTTAGCTTATGTTTATAGTGTTTTGAGTTATAAGGAGTTAAAGACCTAGAAAGAATTTGAAGTCAACAATTTGTTAGCATATTTTAGTTTTATGTTTGTGGATGCTATACCCTGTGCTTGTTCTGGGAAGTCAAGGGAGGGGGGGGGGAAGGCTGAGGGGGGATGGGTGGGAGGGCAAGGGGGGAGGGAAAGGCTGAGGGGGGAAGGGCGGGGGGGGGGAGAAAATGTTTGTATTTCTTATAAAACTTATAAAACTTTTCAATAAAAAAAAAAAGGATGGAAGGCTGAGTCAACCTTGAGCCTGGTGAGATTCGAACTTACAGTAATTGCAGACAGCTGGTGTTAATCACAATGCTATTAGTCTGCTGAGCCACCAGGCCATTCCAGCAGTGGAATAGGATTATCTTGAAACTCCAGAAAAAAAGTGGTGTAATTAGCCATCGAACCTCAAAACTACAACTTTTCCCAAAATGGTTTCCACGATTTTGGCCACTCCTGTAGGTGGGAAGGCAAGCGAAATTAGTCAGAGGAGCAGCTGCCCGGAGATACCTACCTTCTGTGGGGCGTCATGCTCGGGCACCAGCCACTCGAGTTCAGAGGCCGCGGGCAGCTGCATCCCTTCGAACTGCTTGAGTAAGCCCATGGCTACGGCTTCGGCCGAGTTGGAGTTGAGGAAGCTGTGGTAGCTCCTGGAGGAAGCGGTCGAGACGACAACCCATGTCAAAGCCATAGGACGGGACGGTTTGTTTTTCAACCGTGGCAGCTTTTAAGCTGTGGGGAGACTTCATCTCCCAGAAACCTCCAGGTATATGGGTGGAGCTCCACGCTCAGAATTCCCCCAAACTAGTCAACCTTGACAACTTTCAGATGTGAGTGGACTTCAACTCCTAGCAGATGTTGGCAGAGGAATTGTAAGAGTGGAAATCCACACTTCTTAAAAAGTTCTCCTGGTTGGAAAAATACTGCCCCTACAGGCAGGATGAGGAACTTTCTTTTCTGGAAGAAGCTCCAGAACGAGAGGGGGGGTGAAACCTTCCTTCCTTCCTCCCTCCCTCCTTCCCATCTTCCTTCCTTCACCATCCCTTTCCTTCTTTTGTTCTTCATTCCTCCCTCCCTCATTCCCGGCTCCTTCCTTCCTCCCTCCCTCCTTTCTTTCCTTCTTCCCTCTCATTCCTGCGTCCTTCCTTCCTTCCCTTTCCTTCTACCTACTATTCCTGTATCCCTTTCTTCCTTCCCTTCCTACCTACCATTATCCTTCCTTCCCTCCCTCTCATTCCCATCTCCTTCCTTCCCTTCCTTCCTTCCTTCCCTTCCTCCCTACCATTATCCTTCCTTCTCTTCTTCTCATTCCCATCTCCTTCCATCCTCCCTCCCTCTTTCATTCTTCCCTCATTCTTGTCCTTCCTTCCTTCCCTTTCCTTCTACCTACTATCCCTGTGTCCCTCCTTTCTTTCTTCCTTCCTTCCTTCCTTCCCTTTCCTTCCTACCATTATCCTTCCTTCCCTTCTTCTCATTCCCATCTCCTTCCATCCTCCCTCCCTCTTTCATTCTTCCCTCTCATTCTTGTGTCCTTCCTTCCTTCCCTTTCCTTCTACCTACTATTCCTGTGTCCCTCCTTTCTTCCTTCCTTCCTTCCCTTCCTACCTACCATTATCCTTCCTTCCCTCCCTCTCATTCCCATCTCCTTCCTTCCCTTCCTATCTACCATTATCTATCCATCCATCCATACTTCCTTTCTTCCTTCCTTCCCTCCCTCCCTCCCAATGGTGAAATCCAATTTTTTTTTACTACCGGTTCTGTGGGCGTGGCTTGGTGGGTGTGGTGTGGCTTGGTGGGTGTGGCAGGGGAAGGATACTGCAAAATTCCCATTCCCTCCCCGCTCCTGGGGGAAGGATACTGCAAAATCCCCATACCCTCCCCACTCCTGGGGGAAGGATACTGCAAAATCCCCATTCCCACCCCACTCCTGAGGGAAGGATACTGCAAAATCCCCATTCTCTCCCCACTCCAGGGGAAGGTTACTGCAAAATCCCCATTCCTTCCCCATTCCAGGGGAAGGATACTGCAAAATCCCCATTCCCACCCCACTCCTGAGGGAAGGATACTGCAAAATCCCCATACCCTCCCCACTCCTGGGGCAAGGATACTGCAAAATCCCCATTCCCTCCCCACTCCTGAGGGAAGGATACTGCAAAATCCCCATTCCCACCCCACTCTGGGTCCAGCCAGAGGTGGTATTTGCCGGTTCTCCGAAACCGCTCAAAATTTCCGCTACCGGTTCTCCAGAACCTATTAGAACTTGCTGGATTTCACCCCTGCTCCCTCCCCGTCTTCTCCCTTCCCTTCCCGTTCCCTTCCTGCCTTCTCTCCTCCTGCGGAAGGTGTCCCCGCTCCCTTCCCAACACGAAGCACCCCTTCCCGTGTCTTGGGCTGCCGTGACTCTCGTACGGACTTAACCTCTGCTGCTTCTCCTGCGTGGTCCATGCTGGGCTCACCCCATCCCTGTGCTGGAGCATAGGAGCCAACGCTCTTCTCAACCTTGGGCCTTACTCCCTGCTCCAAGAGATGGAGGCTCTCCGGTGAGTCTCGCCCTACTACTTCTCTAAGTCGCCTTTTCATTAAGGTGTCCTGGAGATGGCTTCCATCTTCTACCTCCAGCTGGATTGGATCTCAGAACTTCTGAAGGCTGGTATTTAGCAACCTCTGCACCCCACCCCCCAAAATCTCTAAATTACATACCCACCAAGAATACAGGTAGTCCTCGACTTACAACCATCCGTATAGGGACCGCTTTTAAGTTACCATGGCACTGAAAAAAGTGACTGATCGTTTTTTCACACTTAACGACCGTTGAGCCATCCCCGGGGTCACATGATCACGATTCAGACGCTTGGCAGTTGACTCATTATTTATGACGGTCGCAGCGTCTCAAGGTGACGTCGATCCCCTTTTGCGACCTCTCCTGACAAACAAAGTCAACGGGGGAAGCCAGATTCACTTAACCACCTGATTATTAATTGAATGACTGCAGTGGTTCGCTCAACAACTGTGGCAAGAAAAGGTCGTAAAATGGGGCAAAGCTCACTTAACAACCGTCTCACTTAGTAACAGAAATTTTGGGCTCAATTGCAGTCCCAAGTCAAGGACTAGTTGTAGTCCTGACAAAACCTCTGTCATCTTTCTGACCTAAAACTAGCAACCAGTTGTTTTTGACTGTTTTTCCTGACCATTACGGAGGGTTGGACTAGATGACCTTTAGAGTCTTTTCCAACACTGTGATTCTATGAGAGATTCCCACCTGCATTTCAGCTCTCAACATTATCCATGTGTATGATACATAAGGGGTGGGGGGAAAACTATGGGCAGTCCTCAACTTATGACCACAATCGAGTCCAACATTTCTGTCGCTAAGTGAACCATTTGCTAAGTGAATTATGCCCCATTTTGCGACCATTCTTGCCACAGCCGTTAAGTGAATCATTGCAGTTGTTAAGTTAATAATCTGGTCGTTAAATGAATCCGGCTTCCCTATTGACTTTGCTTTTCAGAAGGTCGCAAAACGGGACCTTCATATGACCTGCGACTGTCATAAATATGAGTCGGTGGCCAAGAGTCTGAGCTTGGATCCTGTGACCCTGGGGATGCTGCAATGGTCGTAAGTTTGAAAAAAAACCGGTCGTAAAGTCACTTTTTCCAGGGCCGCTGTGTCTTTGAATGGTCACTAAGTGAACTGTTGTAAGTCGAGGACTACCTGTTAACTGAATCCATGTTGCGCTGGGCTGAGGGAGGGAGAGCGAAGCATGAGAAGTAGGCATACGTACGTGGAGCCAGAGGAAAGGAAGGACTTTTTACTCGGGGGTTGGCTCCTCTTGATGTCCGCGTCTAAGTCGCAACATAACAGAGATGAAGAAATGTCAAATTTGAAATGGAATACAGAAAAAAACAGTTGGAAGGGACCTCGGAGGTCTTCTAGTCCAACCCGCTTGCTCAAGCAGGAGATCCCATACTGTTCTGCCCCAGCTACGGACCTCAAAGAACGCAACACACACAAAGTCTGTACAAACCTTAGTTTACTAAATTAAATCAGTCTTTCTGATTTAATAAACTTTCTTAACAGCCTACAAGAAACCAAAGATAAAGTAATCACAATCTTACTACGGTTGGCAAAAAGCCCAGAAGCAATTTGCAGAGAATCCAGACGCGAAGGAGAGTGAACTGAAGTTGTTCCCTACAAATTGCTTCAGTCGGTGTTCCTCCTTAAATAGGCCAAGGGAGTGGCCAATTAGCCCTAAGCCATTCTCTCGAGGAGACCTCCTCCTGAGGAGCCACTCCTGCCTTTGGGCCACTCTGCGCGCCCGTGCATTGAGAAGAGGCTCCTCCTCTTCATCCTCTTCACTTATGGAAGCTTCTGGAGGTTCTGAAGGCCCCGGCTGAATCCCTGCCTCTGGCACCACATCTTCTCCAGCCTCCTCACTGTCCGACTCGGGTGCCAGCTGCACAGCACCACACCAGCCTCCTTGCTGTCGGAATCAGCTACAATCTTCACAGGCTGCTGACAGGCCACAACACATACAATATTTGATCTGATGGATTTCTACTGATTTAAGCAGCTCCTAAATGGGACCACTTCTGGTTTAAACATCTGATAACTCTACCGGGGAAGTTCTCAACTCAACAGAGATATTTCCAGATCTGCCAATTCAAATCCTCAGCCAAGCAGGGGACAAGGAGACCAGCTTCCTTCTTCTCACCCTTCAGATCCATCTACTCCTATCTGGAAAAGGGTCGTATGTGCCTACCAGTCAACCTTGGCAACTTGAAGATGGACTTCAGCTCCCAGAATTCCCTAGCCAGCCATGTCTGTTTTTTCCCCTCCTCTTACCTTCTAAAGTGGAGAGATTGCAGAGGAAGGGATAACAAGAGAGTAAGCTATGTTGGTGTTGTGGCCCGCCAGTGGCCTGCGCAGATCATGGCTGATCCCGACGACAAGGAGGCTGGTGTGGGGTCGCACCAGCAGCCTGTGCAGCCGGCGCTCGCGTCGGACAGCGAGGAGGCTGAAGAGGATGTGGTGCCAGAGGCAGAGACTCAGCCAGGGCCTTCAGAACCTCCAGAGGCTCCTTCAAGTGGAGAGAGCGAAGTGGAGGAGCCTCTTCTCAATGCTCGAGCCCGCAGGGCTGCCAAAAGGCAGGAGTGGCTACTCAGGAGGAGGAGGAGGTCTCCTCGAGAGTAAGGCTGGAGGATAATTGGCCACTCCCTTAGCCTATTTAAGTCGCATGCCATTAGTAAGTTTCTTGCTGGAAACAACTTGTAATTATCATCAGAGCATTTTTGGAACAGTCTTATGGTATCTTGTTTTCTGGGCTGGTTGCCAACCTTTGCCGGACTCGGGTTTATTCTTGCTACTTAATAAATTTGATAAGGACCGTTGGTGTATGGAGCTGGGGCAGAACAGCTGGCTAGGGAACTCTTGAGAGTTGACATCTACCCATCTTCAGGTTGAGATGTTCACATTGCCAAGGTTGAGAAACACTGGCATAGACTTTATCCAGTTCTGGACCAGGAATTCTGCTTACATATTTCCAGAGGCAACAGAGCAAAATGAATTCTGGATTCAGAAGGACCTTAACGTGGGCAAACCAGGAAGGCAAATGTATCATCCAGACCTGAAAACTTTCTTGCGTAACATGTTTTAAGGAGACTGTGGGCACTGGGCAATGCCAACCTCGATCCTAACCTTCATTTGTAAAAGCAATAGTAGCAATATAGAAGGAGACACACTAGTTGCACAAATGTGTGCAACTTCAGGCCTACAGAAGTGTTCAAATATCAAGAGGACATACGTCAGCTTGCATTAATATCCTTGCAATTCCATGCAACTGGTTGGAAACAGTGACTAGGGATTGAACTCCAGAGATTAAATCAACTTCCTCAGAGGGGAAGGAGGCGGTGGGGAGGGGGGAAGTCTAACTATTCATTGTTTCGAAGTTGACTCATATAAAGGCACCTCTACTCCCAGCTTGACAACAGTAATTAAGGGAGTGGGGAGGGGAATGCTTGGAATGTATTGGGAGCTGGGAGGGAGGAGTTAGGAATCTATGTGAGCCGTTTGTAGCCTGAGAAAACCCCTTGAGACCTTCTGAAGGCGCAGATTATTTTCCCAAAACACAAAGAACATACTGGATTGTTGGACAACGGATGGCCCAAATGGGGAAATTAACTATGCTGGCTTATGCGTGAAAACCTCAGAGCTAGTTTTGCTTCTTCTGCACCCTGTATAGATCTATCAATAAAGTTATGCTCTTGGTAAAAAAAAAAACCAGGTGGGTTTTTTTGCTGCATATGCCAACATCGTACCTTCCAGAGACACCGTCTCAAAGTCAAAGCGCTCGGAATGGAATGGAATAGCTCACCAATCAGCCCGCCGTTGAAGAGACAGTTCCCAAAACAATTTATTCAAAGATAATTGGACAATAAGGGACTAGCAAGGGGAAGGAACCGGACAGGGAAAGTTAACTGGGAAAGTTTGGCGCGTGAACTTCAGTTCTGGCTTTGCTGTACTGTAAAACACTGTGTACCCTTTGCTACAATTGGAATCGAGGGTCTTCCTTGCCTAAAGGACCAAATCAGGGCAGGACTGACAACTAATATATTTTGCCGTATCTGATACGGACTTACCAAGGGTTCAGGAGGGGAAAGTCATTACCTGAAAACAAGGAGGCCATCGAGACGGACAGGTCACTGTTGGACATGTGAATCAGGTTGGATCCTTCGTTTCCATCTGCAGGACATGGGCATGACAGAAGAGCATGTCTCAAACAAGAGAATGGAAGGACCAATTGCAATACAGCTACTCCTCGATTTATGCCCATAAAAGAGCCGGCTGATTAGTAAGTCATGACAGTGTAAAGTAAGTTACCACATGACTAGTCCCGTTTTTACCTTTTTTTTTTACAACGGTTGTAAAGCGAACACTGCAGTCGTAAAGCAAACCCGCTTTTTATTAAGGGTTGTTTTTGCTGAAAATTGGTAATAAATGCTGCTTTTTGTAACTTCGAACGGCCACTAAATCAATGTTCGTACGTCGAGGACTACCTGTAAAGGAAGGGTAGCTCAGGGCTCATTCTATGGAGGTCATCTTACCTCGGATCTCGTACTCATCCACCTCTTCCGCAGACCCCGAGTCGGAGGGGCAGGTTGAGTCTTGGGAGCTGAAATACGATCCGCTGTCTGTCGCTTTCAGACCTGCAAAAATGAGGAAGCTTCAACTACCTGATCATGAAGATGCTTCACTACTGTTCTCACCCAGCGTTCGCTAGCGTCTATGTCTGCCTTTCCCCGAGAGCCGGCTTATTGTTTTCCTTTGCTCTCCTCTCCTCTCTAAGCATACATGCATCTGAGATGGGCCCCATCTGTTCTTCCCCCTCACTCAGCTCAGTGCCCAAAGACAGCTGCCTCTCACCTGGGGAAGGACGGAAGCTCTGCCTCTGTCTCTGATCCTCCTTCCTTATCAGAGCCTTCCAAAAAGCTCTAAAACTGGCCTACTCTCCCCCTCAACCTCCTCCTCATCTGACTCTGCTGCTAGCTCTGCTGGCAGCCGACGGACCACAACAACTATCATCAACAGAACCATAATTGAACCCTGCAATTACGCTCATGAGTTCTAACAGTCGTAAAGTTAGGGGTCACATCCCTAAACTCTACATCTGTACTCAAATTGTTTTGCTTTGCGCAGGTCACCCTCGGGAAGTGAGGGGAGCCGAATGTCAACTTGCAAAGCTTTCAAGTTGCCATGAGCAGGAGGGAGGGAGAACTGATGGAGCTGATTGATTTCCCTAACTGAGGTTACATTCCATACATGCTTCCTAACCGCAATCAGAAGGAGGGTGTTGGATTTCACAGCCGGCCAAAGTGCTTAATTGGATAATGTGATTTATGACATGGCCAGGGAGGAGGGGAGAGACAGGGTCATAGGGGAATGTAAATCTATGTGGGATTAGTTCTAACTGCATCCGAATATTGCCGAAATGGTGCTCCTAATAAATGACTGTATTTCTTTTGAAGTTTGGCTCATAGCTCATGAATTAATTAGGGCATCTTTCGGAAACTTCACACCACCATGTGAGCGGGCCTGATTTTACGATGTTTTTTGTAATGGTCCTTAAATCACAAACGGCTCAGCGGTTAAGATGCTGGGCTTGTCGGCTGGAAAGCAGGCAGCCCGGGTTCGAGACCCGAGCACCACATGATGGAGTGAGCTCCTGTCCTCGCCTCAGCTCCTGCCAACTTAGCAGTTCGAAAGCATGCGAAGGCGAGTAGATAAATAGGTACCACTTCGGTGGGAAGGGAACAGCGCTCTGTGACGTCATGCTGGCCACATGACCACGGAAATGTCTTCGGATAGCGCTGGCTCAACAGTCTTGAAACGGAGATGAGCATTGGCCACTGGAGTTGGCAACGACTAGCGGAGTAAAATCCGCAGGGACTCCTTTACCTTTTAAAAAGTCTATGGAGATTCTCAGTCATCCAGGTCATGATTGTCTCAAAGGTGCTTTTTCAGGAGGCAACTGGACTTTCTGGTTTTTTCTTTGAATTCTTGAAAAATTGCAGACTACAGGAACCCTTTGCAGCACTCAGGTGACCCTGAGGGCTCAGATAAATCTCCAAGTGGCCTCAAGGACTCTCTCAAAGGATGCAAATGACCAGCTGTCTGCAAGGAGCATAAACCCTTCCATTCCCCACCATCCGGTCAGAGCTGAAGAAGCTTCTTGGAGGAGAAGCGAAATGTTTTCAAAAGAAAAAACAAGAAAGTCCAGTTGCCTCCTGAAAAAGCACCTTTGAGACTTTATCTTTTTTACTCTTTACTGTTGTGGTCCTCCGGCAGCCTGCGGAGCTGGCAGCTGAGTTGAACAGTGAGGAGGCTGGGGAGGAACATGGGCCAATCCTGGACTCTGGGGAAGGCCCGGATGAGGGCTCTGCGTCGGGGGCAGAGATGGGGCCAGGGCCATCTGGGAGTGATGCGTGGCCTCCGGAACCTCCAGAGTCGGACAGCAGAGAGGCAGAGGAACAGGAGGAGCCTTTTCCTAGTGCATGCATGCGCAGAGCTGCCAGAAGGCACGAACAGTTAAACAAAAGGGACGACTCGGGAGTAAGGCCTGGAGATGACTGGCCCTTCCCATAAGGCTAAAAAGAGGAGCAAAGGCACGTGGGCCCTTTGCAGGAAAGCAACGTTGTTAATTCTGTTCCCAGTCGGCATCTCCGTTTGATTCTGGACTCTGTGGGGCTTTGCCAAGTAGGTCTTTGGCAGCGTGTCAAGGGCGATAAAGATTGGTGATTATCCTGAAGGACTTCTTGCAACTAATTGGGACTCAGCTGTGAATGAACGTAATTCACAGCTGTTGCAATAAAGAGGTTTTTGGGACTACTCGTGTGTTTTAATGACTCAGGAATCCTAGGTCACAGCATTTAAATTAAGTCAATGCTGCGGAGTTGAAGTTCACCCAGGTCTTAAAACTTGCTAAGGTTGAGAAAAGCCAGACGAGACGCTTCCGAACTCGACCCCCAAACCTAGATTCAGAGACAGCCTGAGGTTTCAGCTTCTTTGGGATCTCAATGGAGCAACCTTCCAAAGGATAAGAAGCACTCACTGTCAGAGCCCACATCCTGGCACGCCGGGTGGAGGTAGCGGGTCCGAATTTGTTGCCGGCGGATACGGATCTTCTGCTTAAGGTCTTGAATCACCTTGTCGCTTTCTTCCTCCTCCTCTTCCATCTGACGGTTCATCATGTTGCATTTCATCAGCTCGATGGCAGCAATGAGCGACTCGGAGATGCTGAAGTGGGCGTTTTCCTGGGATGAAGGGAGAGGAGCTGTCAAACAGTTTGCGAAGTCGAGAATTAAATGATAGAATAGAATAGAATAGAATAGAATAGAATAGAATAGAATAGAATAGAATAGAATAGAATAGGAATAGGAATAGGAATAGGAATAGGAACGGAATAAAATAAGAATATTTATTTATTTATCAAATTTTTATACCGCCTTTCTTCCAAAGGGACTCAGGGCGGTGTACAGCCAAGATAAAAACCAACAATATAAAAGTTGAAAACAATTTAAAATTATTAGATAGTTTGGCCAATCATCTAAAACACAATAACCCATTAAAATAATATTTTAGGCCAGCCCTGCTTGATTGAATAATAGTGTTTTAAGGGCGCGGTGGAAGGTACGGAGGTCGGAAATATGACGAATCTCCAGGGGCAGCTCATTCCAGAGGGCAGGTGCCCCCACAGAGAAGGCTCTCCCCCTGGGGGTCGCCAGTCGACACTGTCTAACCGATGGCACCCTGAGGAGACCCTCTCTGTGGGAGCGTACTGGTCGGTGGGAGGCTATCGGAGGCAGAAGGTGGTCTCGTAAATATCCAGGTCCTGAGCCATGGAGCGCTTTAAAGGTGGCGACCAACACCTTGAATCGCACCCGCAAGACCACTGGGAGCCAGTGCAGGTCGCGCAGGAACGGTGTTACATGGGAGCACCGATTCGCCCCCATAATCACCCGCGCGGCCGCATTCTGGACCAGCTGGAGCCTCCGGGTGCTCTTCAAGGGGAGCCCCATGTAGAGAGTGTTACAGTAGTCCAGACAGGAAGTGATGAGGGCGTGAGTGACCGTGCGCAGGGCATCCCAGTCCAGAAAGGGGCGCAACTGGTGGATCAGTTAGAATAGAATAGGAATAGGAATAGGAATAGGAATAGGAATAGGAATAGGAATAGGAATAGAATAGAAGAGGAAGAGGAAGAGGAAGAGGAATAGAATAGGAATAGAAATAGAATAGGAATAGTCCAACCCCCTGAGCAGGCAGGAGCTCTTATTCCATCCTGGACAAATGAAACGAACCTTGGAGGTCATCTAGTCCAACCTTTTGTTCATTCAGGAGACCCTATCCCATTTCAGACAAATGGTTGTCCAATCTCTTCTTAAAAACTTCCAGTGTTGGGGCATTCACAACTTCTGGAGGCAAGTCATTCTACTGATTAATTGTTCTAACGATCAGGAAATTTCTCCTTAGAGTTCTAGGTTGCTTCTCTCCTGGATTAGTTTCCACCCATTGCTTCTTGTCCTGCCATCAGGTGCTTTGGAAAATAGCTTGACTCCCCCTCTTCTTTGTGGCAGCCCCTGGAACACTGTTATCAGGTATAAGGGATATACCCTGCCTGGGAGATTCTAGGCATGACTATCCTAAGCGAATCACACGAAGTGTTTATGCCATTTTATAATCCCTTGATAAGGCCACACTTGGATTATTGTGTCCAAGTTTTGGTTGGCACAATATAAAAAAGACGCTGAGACTCTAGAACAGAGGTCTTCAAACAACTTGGCAGCTTTAAGACTTGTGGACTTCAACTCCCAGAATGAGAAGTCTTTAAAGTCTTAAAGCTGCTCTAGAAAGTGTGCAAAGAAGAGCAACAAAGATGATGAGGGGCCTGCAGGCTAAAACATATGAAGAACAGTTGCAGGAACTGGGTATGTCTAGTTTAATGAAGAGAAGGACTAGGGGAGACATGATAGCAGTCTTCCAATATTTCAGAAGAGGGAGTCAAGCTATTCTCCAAAGCACCTGAAGGCAGGACAAGAAGCAATGGGTGGAAACTAATCCAGGAGAGAAGCAACCTAGAACTAAAGAGGAATTTCCTAATGGAATAGCTTGCTTTCAGAAGTCATGGATGCTCCATCACTGGAGGTTTTCTAAGCAGAAACTGGATAGCCACCTGTCTGAAATTGTGTAGCGTCTGCTGCTCCAGCAGGGAAATGGGACAGAAGACCTCCAAGGTCCCTTCCAACTGTTATTCCCTCCCCCTGCTCAGAATCGCCTCGGACTGCGAGAACGGTGGCCTATCAGTTTAGTAATAAATAATATTTTAAAGTTGCTAAGGCTGAGAACCCGTTATAATGAGATTTATGGTAACAAATAAGATTGCCCCAATACTGTTAAAGGTTTATATAGCAATAGCAACTTATATACCGCTTCATACAGCCCCTCTCTGAGCGGTTTACAGAGTCTGCCTCTTGCCCCCAACAATCTGGGTCCTCATTTTATCCACCTTGGAAGGATGGAAGGCTGAGTCAACCTTGAGCAGGTCAGGTTCGAACTTCCTAGCTGTGGGCGGTCAGCCTACAATACTGCATTCTAACCACTGTTCCACAACAGAAGGGAGGGAGGGAGGGAGGGAGGGAGGGAAGGAAGGAAGGAAGGAAGGAAGGGAGGGAGGGAGGGAGGGGGAGGGAAGGAAGAGAGGGAGGGAGGGGGAGAGAAGGAAGAGAGGGAGGGAGGAAGGGAGGGGGAGGGAAGGAAGAGAGGGAGGGAGGGGAAGGAAGAAAGGAAGAGAGGGAGGGAGGGAGGGGGAGGGAAGGAAGAGAGGGAGGGAGGAAGGGAGGGACGGGGGAAGGAAGGAAGGGAGGGAGGGGGGAAGGAAGGAAGGGAGGGATGGAGGGAGGGAGTGAGGGAGAAGGAAGGGTGGGAGGGAGGGAGGGAGGGAAGGGAGGGAGGGGGAGGGAAGGAAGGGGGGAGGGAGCAAGGGAGGGGGAGGGAAGGAAGGAAGGAAGGGAGGGAGGGAGGGAGAGGGAAGAAAGGGAGGGAGGGAGGGAGGGAGGGAAGGAAGGTAGGAAGGAAGGTAGGAAGGTAGGAAGGAAGGAAGGAAGGAAGGAAGGAAGGAAGGAAGGGCACTAGCACCTAGACTTATATACCGCTTCATAGTGCTTTTACAGCCCTCTCTAAGCGGTTTACAGAGTCAGCCTCTTGCCCCCAACAATCTGGGTCCTCATTTTACCCACCTCAGAAGGACGGAAGGCTGAGTCAACCTGGAGCCTGAGGTGAGATTTGAACTGCCAAATTGCAGGCAGCCGGCAGTCAGCAGAAGTAGCCTGCAGTACTGCACTCTCACCACTGTGCCACCTCGGCTCTTATATCCCTCCCACTGGCACGAAATTGCGTGGTTTATCAGTCACAGCTTTTAAAAATATGGCAGGATGGTCCAAGACAACTTAGATCAATGTTTCTCAACCTTTAACTTGTGGACTTCAACTCCCAGAATTCCCCAGCCAGCATGGCTGACTGGGGAATTCTGGGACTTGGAAGTCCACAAGTCTTAAAAGCTGCCAAGGATGAAAAATACCGTAATCCATTACACAGGCTGGCTGGGGAATTCTGGGACTTGAAGTCCATCCATTCTTAAAGTCATTGAAATTGAGAACTGCTGCTTAAAAATTTTGGAAAGGACTCTACTCCTACACTAAAACAAGAATTCAGGCCCATCTGTTAAAACAGTGACAAAAAGGTGACAGCTGTGCAATGAATTGTCATGCAAATACGATTCAATTCTGTATAGGTGTCAAGACCTTTGACAGAAGTATGTATTAAATTATGACATTTGTACAACGATATCATCCTATGTGGGTCATTACGGTGCCCTCCATCTCAGAATCCTTTGTAAAAAAAAATCCTGAGAGGGAAAAAAAAAAAGGAAGAACAGGGATTTTGAGACCCCTTTTCACGGTTCCCACCGATTTATTGATTGACGCCTCTGTCTCAGGATTTTTAATTTTTTTTTAATTTATTTATATGCCGCCCTTCTCCAGAGACTCAGGGCGGCTTACAATTTGTTCAGCCCTACCTTCTCCAGGTCTTCACAGCTGCCAAAATCTTGTTCCGACAGGTAGCTGATCAGGGATTGGCCTTCTGTAGGCCTCCGGAACATCCCTTCGGCCGGATGGATATACTGGCCGGTGTCTGGCATGGGGGGAAAAAAGGAAGTAAGTTGCTTTCAAAACAAATGAAGGTGACGATATAAGTCCCAGGATAACACTGCTGATAATATCCATCTGTATCTATCTATCTATGTTTGTCTATATCTAACTGCCTATCTGTCCGTCTCCCTCTGCCTGTCTGGATGGATGGATGGGTGGGTGGGTGGGTGGGTGGGTGGATGGATGGATGGATGGATGGATAGATAGATAGATAGATAGATAGATAGATAGATAGATAGATAGATAGATAGATAGATAGGAAAGAGAGATGGATAGATGGATGGATGGATGATAAATGGATGCATGCATAGATAGGAAAGAGATGTAGATGGATGGATGGATAGATGGATGAATGGTTGGATGGATAGATAGATGAGAGAGATGGATAGATGCATGGATGGATGGGTAGAAGGATGGATAGACGAGAGATGGATAGATGAATGGATAGAGATAGATAGATAGATAGATAGATAGATAGATAGATAGAGAGAGAGAGATGGATAGATGCATGGATAGAGATAGATAGATAGATAGAGAGAGAGAGAGAGAGAGAGATGGATAGATGCATGGATGGATGGGTAAAAGAATGGATAGATGAGAGAGATGGATAGATGGATAAAAATAGATAGACAGACAGACAGATAGATAGATGCATGTATAGATAGGAAAGAGATATGGATGGATGGATGGATGGATGGATGGATGGATAGATGAGAGAGAGAGATGGATAGATGCATGTATGGATGGGTAGAAGGATGGGTAGATAGATGAGAGAGATGGATAGAGATAGACAGACAGACAGATAGCTGCACGTATAGATAGGAAAGAAAGAGAGATGGATGGATGGATGGATGGATGGATGGATGGATGGACAGACAAAAATAGTTGCAACTTTGAATGGTGGCTAAACGAAGGGTCTTAAATTGAGGATTGCTTGTACATATACTTTTTCTGTGCTTGAAACTGAGCAGGCTTGAATTCTGTCTGGTGGGTTCCAGAATCTGATCCGTTTTGGACTCAGGGTAACAGCTAGTGGGAAAAGTATTCTGTGGCGACCTTCCCCACCTTTTTGAACGGACTCCGAAGACAAAACGCCGCCCATGGAAACAAGGCTCACCGTATTCGACGTACACCGATCCAGGGGCGCTCCCATCCTTGCTCTGCATCGAACAGGACACGCTGCCTTTGTACTGCGAAATGTCTCCATTGGACTCTGGGCACAAGAGGGGAAAGAGAAAAAGAGGCCGTCAGATGCCACGAACCACGTGGGGGGGGGGAGCTGCCAACAGGACCGCATGGGAGGAAAGGTGGAACGGATCGTATCAAACCGGAAGGAAGAGAACACAACAAATGTTGGGTGAACAGAGGCTCACAAGACGTAAACAGCAGATGCATGACAAGGTGTTGGGGTGGGGGGGCCACCGTTTTTCAGAAAGAGGAATGGAAAAGTTTCCAAAAGAGGTTGGTTGCAGGGTTTTTAGTACTTTCTGAGCCTGGGCAGACGTTTCATGACCCAACTAAGTAACGTCATCAGTGCTACAAGGGAGGGCTGTTTGAGTAGGAAGAGGAGGATTATGTGGTCCTTGATGTTCTCTGAACTTGATTGTTTTCTTGCAGACCTTTCCTGACCCAACTAGGTAACGTCATCAGTGCTAGCAGGGAATGGGATTTTTTTCTTTTTTTAAAATTTGACTTATATGCCGCCCTTCTCCGAAGACTCAGGGCGGATTACAATGCGCTAAGCAATAGCCTTCATACTTTTGTATATTTATACAAAGTCAGCTTATTGCCCCCACAAACTGGGTCCTCAATTTACCTACCTTAGAAAGGATGGAAAGCTGAGTCAACCTTGAGCCTTGGCGAGATTCGAACTTACAGTATTTGCAGACAGCTGAATGATAACAGGCTATTAGTCTGCTGCGCCACCAAGACTGAAAGGCTTTTATTTTAGATAAAAGCCTTTCAGAGGCTGTTTTTCTGAAGCTTCTTTCAGCCTCTGAAATCTCTGTTTGCGAGGCTGGGCGGGGCTACATTCGGAGTATAAGACGCACCCAGATTTTCACCCTCTTTTTTGGGGGGGAAAGGTGCGTCTTATACTCCGAAAAATACGGTATATCCAAAACCTGTGGTTTTGCCACCGCTGAATGCAGGAATGGAGAAAACTGGGGACTACACCAGGAATTTGTTTTTCCTCCAATATCACCAATATTCTTTCTCCATCTCTTTCTTCCAAGAGTCTCTACCCGTACAACTCGATCCAACAGATTGGGCAAACTGAAGAGCCCATCAATCAAAGGGAACTAGAAGATGGGCCTTCTCTGCTGGAGACCCTGCCAAAGGTGAAATACACTTACCTTCGCTACCGGTTTGGGAATGGGAGCGCATGCACAAAGGGTCGAAAACGGGATGTAATGACGTCCCGGCGGGTGGGCAGAGCCCAGTGGTGAAATCCTCCGCGGATTGCTGTGTGCGCGCATGTGCAGTGTGCGCCAAATGCGCAGTGCACACCAAATGAGCGCTTCGCGCGGAAAAAGGAAGCTTAACAAGGTAAGTAGAACAGCGAGGGGAGGAAACAGCTGTGCCGCACAGTTTAGATTCGCTAGAAAGCAGGATTTCCGAATATAAATCGCGCGGCACAGCTGATTGTTGGAGATATCAGTTTGGACGAACAAGTAGCTTTTTTAACTACTGGTTCGCTTGAACCGGTAGCTTTTATCACTACAGGTTCACCCGAACTGGTGCGAACCGGTAGCATTTCACCCCTGGCGAAGCCTCCTGTCGCCGGTGCTACCAGTTCGCGCGAGCCAGATAGATCGGGCTGGATTTCATGGCTGGAGCCTGCCTTATGGAATAGTCTTCCCTCAGGGATGAGAACGACCCCAACCATGTTGGCCGTTTACAAGGCTTTAAATCTTGGCTGAATACCGGGCTCTGGGCCCGGAATGTGTTAAGGTTCCGTTTCTTGGCTTTACTCTTTTAATTTAATTTCATTCGATTTCATTTAATTTACCTTTATCATTTTTACAAATAATTCAAGGCGGCGAATGTATCCAACACACCTTCCTCCTCCTATTTTCCCCACAACAACAGCCCTGTGAGGTGGGCTGGGCTGACAGAGAATGACTGTCCCAAAGTCACCTGGCTGACTAGAACTCAACGTCTCCTAGTAACTGTCCCAAAGTCATCCAATTGGCTTTCATGTCTCAGCTGGGACTAGAACTCACCCTCTCCTGGTGATTGGCCCAAACTCATCTCATTGGGTTTCATGCTTAAGGCGGGACTAGAATTCAGAGTCTCCTAGTGATTGGCCCAAAGTCACCCAACTGGCTTTCATATCTAAGGCGGGACTAGAATTCACAGTCTCCTGGTGATTGGCCCAAAGTCACCCAGCTAGCTTTCATGCCTGAGATGGGACTGGAATTCAGTGTCTCCTAGTGATTGGCCCAAAGTCACCCAGCTGGCTTTCATATCTAAGGCAGAACTAGAATTCACAGTCTCCTAGTGATTGGCCTAAAATCACCTAGCTGGCTTTCATGCCTGAGGTGGGACTAGAATTCACCGTCTCCTGGTGATTGGCCCAAAGTCAACCAGCCAGCTTTCATGCCTAAAGCGGGACTAGAATTGAGACTCCCTATTTTCTAGACTGGTGGCTTAACCACTAAACCAAACTGGCCATCGCATTAAAGGCTTGGAAGATGACGCCATGTTTCATATAGCTGAGGATAAGCGTATCTTGCAAGCTTTTTTCCTCACACTGACCTCGTTCTGATTGTTTTTTTTATCGTGAGGCTGTCCTGAAGCTTTGAAGGGCCTAGACACAATTCTCCCCTTTTCCGAAATCTGTGCCGATTCCAGAGGATTATAATGCTGGAATAAGGCAGATTTTGAAATCTTTATTCTAGCTTTACATCAATATTTCTCAATTTTTGACAGCTTGAAGATAGGTGGACTTCAACTCCCAGAATTCCCCAGCCAGCATAGCTTTGAAGGGCCTCGACACAATTCTTCCCTTTTCCGAAATCTGTACTGATTCCAGAGGGTTATAATTCTGGAATAAGGCAGATTTTGAAATCCTTATTCTAGCTTTACATCAATGTTTCTCAACTTCGACAGCTTGAAGATAGGTGGACTTCAACTCCCAGAATTCCCCAGCCAGCATAGCTTTGAAGGGCCTCGACACAATTCTTCCCTTTTCCGAAATCTGTACTGATTCCAGAGGGTTATAATTCTGGAATAAGGCAGATTTTGAAATCCTTATTCTAGCTTTACATCAATGTTTCTCAACTTCGACAGCTTGAAGATAGGTGGACTTCAACTCCCAGAATTCCCCAGCCAGCATAGCTTTGAAGGGCCTCGACACAATTCTTCCCTTTTCCGAAATCTGTACTGATTCCAGAGGATTATAATTCTGGAATAAGGCAGATTTTGAAATCTTTATTCCAGCTTTACATCAATGTTTCTCAACTTTGACAGCTTGAAGATAGGTGGACTTCAACTCCCAGAATTCCCCAGCCAGCATAGCTTTGAAGGGCCTAGACACAATTCTTCCTTTTTCCGAAATCTGTGCCGATTCCAGAGGGTTATAATGCTGGAATAAGGCAGATTTTGAAATCTTTATTCCAGCTTTACATCAATATTTCTCAATTTTTGACAGCTTGAAGATAGGTGGACTTCAACTCCCAGAATTCCCCAGCCAGCATAGCTTTGAAGGGCCTAGACACAATTTTTCCTTTTTCCGAAATCTGTCCTGATTCCAGAGGGTTATAATTCTGGAATAAGGCAGATTTTGAAATCTTTATTCCAGCTTTACATCAATGTTTCTCAACTTTGACAGCTTGAAGATAGGTGGACTTCAACTCCCAGAATTCCCCAGCCAGCATAGCTGGCTGGGGAATTCTGGGAGTTGAAGTCCACCTATCTTCAAGCTGTCGAAGTTGAAAAATATAGGTTTACAAGCTTGAACTGAACATGGCTTTAGCCTCCATTCAGCCCAAGCGTGCCCCAGGCATTGGTGTTTTACATAGTTGGTATTATCTTATTCGCTTAAAAACAGGCCGGGGCGTACGGTGAAATGATAAAATGATAACAATGACAGGAAAAGGCATGCTGAGAACAAAAATGGCGTCCTCCGGCGATGCTGGCTTACAACTGCTATTCTCAGCAAACCTGAATGTAAGCCAGCATAGGCTGAGGGCACCAGATTGGTAACAGACCTTCTGATATAGGAAAGGCAATAATAAAAGGATAGAAGAGAAGGGAGGTGAGGGAGCTCTGTTAAGAATTCCATGTTCGGCACCGTTTCAGGGGATGGATCCCTCACCCACGGATAAGTCACTAAGGACAGAATCATAGGGCTTAGACGGGACCTTGGAGGTCTTCTAGTCCAACCCCCTGCTTACGCCAAGAGACCCTTATATACCATTTCAGACAAGGGGCTGTCCAGTCTCTTCTTGAAAGCCTCCAGTGATGGACAGCACCCACAATTTCTTGTGGCAAGGCGTTCCGCGGGTTAACTGTCCTCACTGTTAGGAAGTTTCTCCTTCATTCTGGGTTGGAAGTAATACAGGTAGTCCGCGACTTATGACCACAACTGAGCCCAAAATTTAGGTTGCTAAGTGAGACGTCTGTTGAGTGAATTTTGCCCAGTTTACAAGGTCCCAATTGTTAAGTGAATCATTCTTTCTTTTCCTTTCTTGCTTTCTTTCCTTTTTTCTTTCTTTCCTTTCTTCTCTCTCTCCCTCCCTCCCTTTCTTTTCTTTCTTTCTTTCCTTCCCTTTTCTTTTTCTCTCCCCCTTCCTTCCTTTTTCTTTCTTTCCTTTCTTTCTTTTCTCTCTCCCTTTTTCTTTCTTTCTTTCTTTCTTTCTTTCTTTCTTTCTTTCTTTCCTTTTTCTCTCTCTCCCTCCCTCCCTTCATTTATTTTTCTTTCTTTCCTTTCTTCCCTTCCGTTTCTTTTCTCTCCCCCTTCCTTCCTTCCTTTCTGTTTCTTTCCTTCCTTTTCTTTTTTCCCTCCCTCTTTTTTCTTTCTTTCCTTCCCTTTTCTTTCCTCTCCCCCTTCCTTCCTTTTTTTCTTTCCTTCCTTCCTTCCTTTTGTCTCCCTCCCTTCATTTCTTTCCTTTCTTCCCTTCCCTTTCTTTTCTCTCCCCTTCCTTCCTTTCTTTTTCTCTTTCCTTCCTTCTTTCTTTTTTCTTTCCTTCTCTTTTTTCTTTTCTCCTCCCCTTCCTTCCCTTTCTTTCTTTCTTTCTTTCTTTCTTTCTTTCTTTCTTTCTCTTTCTTTCTTTCTTTCTTTCTTTCTTTCTTCTTGTTCTCTCTCTCTCTTTCTCTCTCTCTGTCTCTGTCTCTCTCTCCACAATTGTTAAGTGAATCACCACATAACATGGTTGTTAAGTGAATCTGGCTTCCCCATTAACTTTGCTTGTGAGAAGACCGACTGCAAAAACCGATCACATGACCCCAGGACTCTGCAACCGTCATAAACATAAACCACTTGCCAAGCCTCTGAGCTTTGATCGTGCGCGCTTAGGATGCCGTAACGGTCGCTAAGTGCGAAAACCGATCGTAACGTCCTTTTTTCCAGTGCCGTTGCACCTTTGAAGGTCACTAAATGACCCGCTGTTAAGTCGAGGACTACCTGTACATTCCGTGGCAGAGGCGTGTTCTGTGGGGCAAGCATGTAGAACGTTCATGCGGGGGAAGAAACGATCTTTTCCTAAATTCCCAGATGAGAA